AATGTGAATTTACTATCCGTTTTCTGATATTCATGTATTGTAGTTTTCATCACGTAGGTATTCACGTATTCATGGGTAGATTTTTTAGGCGATAACGTGTTCTAAATTTAAATAAATACAATTTATCTTGTATTTTGTATAATTTTAATTTATAGATTTAAACAGATCCACTATAAATCAGGTATTTATTTCAAAGCAAATTTTTCAGAAAATATGGGAGTTTGACAAAGAAGTGCATCTATTATTCATCGATTAAAAAAAGGCGTATGATTGAATGCATAAATGATTTATTTTGAATATGTTGGCAATAGTTTGTCACATGGGGTACCAGTAACGATAGATTTGAGTACAGTATATGTATACTAGATACATATTACACAACGTGGTGTTGGTTCGAAAATAGCGCAAGCTATTTATGCGCGATAACATAAAACGATAAAAATCGTCATGAATGCTGTAGTACATATTTATCCAGATACACAATTTAAAGGTTGTTTTTTTCACTTTGGTCAATCTTTTTGGCGTCATTTGGAGTTTGGGCCTCCAGAAAAAATATTCAAAGAATATTTAGAATACATATTCAGAATTTTTGTTATATTTACGTTAATTATTGGCATTAGCTTATGTCCCTGAAAATAAAGTTATTGATTTTTTTGAATCACTACTTAGTATGGAGTTTACGAAAAAAAATCAAAATTCATTGATTGAACTCCTAAATTATTTTGAAGATACATATATCGGTAGATTAGAGAGGAGAAAGAGGAGAAGAACAGCATTATTTAATATTAATGTTTGGAATTGTAAATTAATTAAAACAGACATTCGACGTACCAATAATGCAATAGAAGGTTGACATAATGGCTTTAATTCAATGTTAAATGCTATTCATTCATCAATATGGACTTTAATTGACATTAAAAAAAAAAAAAAGACAGTTTAAACCAATTTAAAGTTGAACAGACACTTTCTGGATAGCCACCTCCTAAAAAAGGAAATATAATGATTCAGCCATACGAATTAAAAAGTTGGTACTCAAATTTGAAAATAAATCTATTGATGGATATTTAAACAGCATTGCTGTAAATTTACATAAGTGATGTATCGTGCAATTGGTTTTATGTTCATAATTATTACTTAAATCATCAGTTCTTAAAATATTTTTCGGATAATCACCCCGATATTTGATGAGAATTGAAAATTAAGGATTAATATAGAATATTTCGTTAGGGCGTGTTGATGAAAATTCTAATATGTATACGGAATATATGGACAATATTCACGTATTCTCGTATTTTTAGCGAATATACATTAAATAACAAACTAGAGACGTGAGTATTTGCTATACAATATACATGTATCAGGTGATCCATTTAAATGGGTACACTCATTATCTCGGAGAGTATTACATTTTTCCGAAACCTGTTTCCTAGAACATTTAAGAAACAAGCTACTCGACAATTTAATATTTATATTATTTTTCGTTACCCTTATTTTTGGGGGTAAAACCACTACCTATTTATGATTTTTCAAACAGAAACTTAAATTCAAAAGTCTATAAATAGATGGAGTATTATTTAAAATAAATTTTAGTGTTGACATTTTTGATTTCCGTCGATCCGTTGATGAGATATTCCACTTTTAAATTTGGGTTGGTGGAGATTAGTGGAATATCATTTGTGTGGCGGTACGGTACGCGGCTTGTTAATAATGCACCACTATTCTCTTCCAATCTAAAATTAAAAGTGGAATATCTCGTAAAAAACTTCACAAAAATAGAAAATCCCAACATTAAAATTTATTTTAAATGATACTCCTTCTATTTATGGACTTTTTAATATAGGTCGCTATTTGAAAATCAAATCAAAACCTTTCCGAGATAATGAGTGTATCCACTTAAATGAGTCACCTGGTATATATACATCCTTCCCCTCCCAATACACTATTGCACTGATTATTGTTGCACATTTTATACGAAAGATTGTTAATACACATAATAAAGATTTACGATGTTATCCTTCAATCTATTTAAGAAAAACCTTTAAAACGCGAGATCCGTTCAAAGGACCAGGTAAGCTCCCTCTCTTAAAAATTACTTCGGTTACCGGGAAAGTTGCCAATGTGGTAATCGCTCAAAGAATATAATATAGTAGTAAAACGTTTTTATATAAGTACCGGTGATATCCGTTATTAGCGGATAAAATACGAAAACTAGAAATTATATAAGCTGGTAATACCTGTATTTTATTGTTATGTTACAAATTTACGATATTAAAATCATGGCATAATAATAATTAATAAATAGGTACAGTCGCCTATTTTATTTTAATTTGTCGAAGAATACATTTCTACAGACGGTTTTCATAACAAAATCAGGTAGGTACGTTTTCTTAATAATTATATATAATTTTTTTTTTGTATAGGTACCTATAAATAATAATAATAGTATAATATTATAATAATATTAAGATACCTATACGCACTATAAACGCGACCTTAATAATACTCGAAAATGAGCGTGTGCTGCCGCGGCGATGATGTGACATACCTAAGTACGTATAATATTATTGTTATTATAGTCGTCACCGTATATTGACAAATTCTCTCTCAGGAGAGGCCTTCTCTGTATATCGCAATCGATTCTGCCGTTGCTTAACTGCAGCAGACGCGTTTCGGTATAAATAATAATAATACCCGATAGTACCGCCGAACGCTTGTACGGTTTAATTAGCGGATATCTACAGGGTGGGGACGATGACTTTCTTCCAGTAATAGGACGCAGAAAACTCCGGTAAAAAGATATTTATAACGATATCATATCGTATCCCCTAAAAACGACGACGCCCCCTCCCCTCGAAAATACGTAATAACTCTTGCGGCGCATGCCAGTCGGCTGACAGTATACACAGTGGTTACAGCACGCGAGCAAGTAGACCTACGTATATACACCAGAGCGACAAAACGATTGTTGCAGCCGCAGCAACAAGAAATCGACCGAAAGACACAATCTCTAATTTTTTTATTTTTCTATAAATCACGTCTTGCACGTTTATTTTTTTTAACGTCAAAAGCGTAAAAATTTATTGTTCATTAATAATAGTATTGTAATATATTCACAATATACGTGACACGTGTAGTCCATCATCTATAAATATACGCAAGCGGTGTGCGTATGTGCAGTGTGATTTTAAAATTTCAATTTTTTTTTTTTATCATTTTTTATTTCTTCAGTCACACTTACGCGTTCAGACAATATTTTCGGGTGTAATTTACTAGCAGAAAACCGCAACGCAGTTTGAATACTGCGAGCGGCACTTTAAGCAACACTTAGTATATATCGTCGTTTGTCGCAATTCGTAAGTGAAGTTACTTTTAGAAAACTCATGAAATCCTGTGGGTGGAAGGTATTCTAGTCGTTCAAGTTTCTAATTATAATAATATGGTATCATGATTTTTTTCGGGGAAATATTAAGTTAAAAAAAACAAATTGTCGTTCATTTTTGAGAAGAACGATTTGTTTTTGGATTTATACAATCAAATCTAATTCCTTCATCGTCATTTGTAAAGTATAATTTAAAATGATTATATAATAGGAAATCTTATTTGGATTATATCGAAAAATGTGTAAAATCTCAATATTATCAATATCTACATTTATTTTGATTACGGACTATTCATTTTTTTAACAAATCTTATTTGTTTTCGAGTAATCAAATTAAGTAGATATAAATATACTTCAATTTTTTTTTTATACAGACTTTTTTTTAGATTCTGATCGGAGTGAGTAATGTATTTGTTTTACAATAATGTTTATTTATTTATTTATGTCTGTGAACAACTTTTCTGTAAATATAACTTGCTCCGGTTTTCAAATGGAGCATTTTTTCTGAAAGGAAATTTTTTCAGTTATTTTAAATAAGTATAATTTTATATTTTCTCTTATTTACTCTCTGTGTTTTAAAAAATGATTATCTGTATTTCCAACAAACCAAGGACAAATGATTACTCTGCAAATTGAGTTTAATTTAAAGTCAATTTTCAGACGTATTAACGTATTGACGTGTTGAACTGGTTAGTTTTTGTTGAATTGACTTAACTGTGTATTAATCATTAACTTGCTCAATCTTATTTTTAAACTTTCTGTCCGTGAACACTCTGACGTCTAAACGAAAGCGAATTTTGGAGTTCTGTTCTTGGAAATCAAGTCTTCGTTAGAGTTTGATTAAGTTCGGTTTTCCGTTCTTGTGATATTTTAAAATTTTGTATTATTTGTTTATTTATCGTTTTGCTAGTTACCGATCGTATTAAATTTCATCTAACTAAAGTTAGGAATAAATGGTTTTTGGTGGTTTTAAAATTTTTATTTTTGTTCTGTAAACATATTTTCTGCTCCGACTAGTGCCGTTGTGTTCGAGCTCAACATCAAATAAAACGAAATGTAAAAATACGTTATTACGTACTGGCTTCTTTTATATTTTGGCTTATCATTTTTGTACGTGGCTGGTTTTTGGGTAATATATGGAAAACCCTATGGTAGAATTTTTTATCTAGTTGGTGCATTAAATCAGGTGGGTTATTTTTGATCTTATTTATAATTTTCTTAATAGGTGGGAAAAATTGGCAATTTTTTATATAATCTTAGTTGATTTCTGTGTTATCTCGGCAACACAAGAACAAATAGGACTAATAATACACTTCTCACAAATATTTTTTCATTAGAAATGGTTTATTAATTCATACAGATATAAATTAAATTACACTATGTATAGAGGTGTGGATAGTATCTTCCATTTAATTTCATTCATAAAACAGTGGCATACCCATCAGTAGTATCGGCCTTTTGATCGTTCATATTTATCGAGATGTTTAGGTTATAGTTATACGAGTTGTTGAGAATCTATACAATATTATGTTTTTATTGTTTTTGACATATTATAGTAACTGTTATAGTAGTGCAGTGAATTTTAATTTGACTTTTTCTAACAGCCTTTGATTGCGGAACGATGAGGACCAACAGCCGTAGCAAGAGCTGTAGCGTCGTTACAGTGGCGATATTATTGGTCGTCGGAGCCACCGCACAACAGTTTCAGGTAATGAATATTATTATAAAAAATAAATTTAAGTTGCATTTGAGAATTAAAAAAAATAATAATAATAATTGATAATGATAGCGTAATATTCCATCCGGTCGTTTATATGGTGTCATAGGTATTATACACAATGTATATATAATACGTATATTTGCATTGATGGTACGTGTGATACTATACTATACTATAAAATATAAATGCAAGGACGTTTGGAGGTCATGCTTATTTAAAATCTGAAGTAAAAAAAAAAATATGAATAATTTCGTTTTATAACTTTTTTCGTTGATTCATTTCCGTGATAATTAGTAGCGTGGAATTAGTAGCGTGGTTTTACCAAAATTATAGATTTATCTAGATAGATATATTTTAATCGTATCCAGATAAATGACAAATAAGTTATCCGTGCCGTTATCTGTGATAGATAATGAAATAGCCTAGATAAATCTTTATTTAAATTGTTTAATTAATATAGGTACCTATTTATGCCAAATAATATAGATAAAATATTTATTTTACATTGATAAACGGTTATTATAAATTAATTATCAAGTTACATAGATCATAAAAACATTTTGATGAAAAAAAAAAGTTTTTTTTTTTTTTAAATCTAAATAATTATTGAATTGTTATAATTTATAGATAATTCAAGCGAGTATAATTCAAGTATTATTATTTTTATCTAGACATTATAAAACTAATAATAGATCGAAAATATTAATTATACAATAAATTTGATAGGTTAAATTTGTTTGTCATACTGGTTGGTTTATTTGGTTCCAATTATTGGTATCATTATGATGCAAAATATTTCAAATTGATTTATTTAGAAATTCGCGAATAAATCAGTTAGCTAACTGAAGCTAAATTTTTTACACTCCCAACTTAATTTTCATATCAACTATTCTATTATTATACAACTTGTTTTTACACATAATGAATTTTAATGGTACAACTATTATTATAACCAATCATCATTACGCATAAAAATTTCGCATTGACTAATATTAATGATATTAAGTAATTATAGATGAACTGAAAATAATTTATTGTACGTTATTTGCACTCATCTGATCTCAATGACCAATATTATACTCTTGATATAAAACACCAGTGAGCATTTTGGATCTAGTTGGTACATTAGGAGGACAATTTTTTTTTCATTTCAAAGCAGTTTTCGTAATAATTGGCTAAAACAGGGTGAAAAAAAACATAGGAAAAACAGAAAAGTTTAAGTGAATAACAGTTTCATAATGTTTGATTTTTATTCTGTTTTTGTCTTTTGTTGTAATTCGGTTAAAAATATTCGTAGAAATCTGCATTTTAACAGAATACTTATATTAATCATTCCTATACGTTTTTAAATTTTAAATTGTTTACAGGCATTTGACATGTTCCCGTTTTTTTAGTTTTTATTTAGTTTAATGCGGATAAAATTGTATACTCCACAACTGAGTTAAAAATATTTATCAAGATGCTCGCTACCCCATGATTTCATCTTAAGTGGAATCTAAGGAAGGTTAGTGAAGGCTGTTTTCCGTGTAGTTTTTCTAATAATTGGGAAAACCAGAAAAAGACGTAGGAAAAACGGGAAAATATACGGTTTTATTATTTTCGATTTTCTATTTTGTTCGTAATTCGGTTAATAATCTGAAATACTTATCTAGCCATTTATTGATGTAGTAAAATTTTCAAGTCATTCTGGTGACTTGGGTTATTTATAAGGGAAATTTATAGGAATTTAATTGTTTTAAAACATGGTATTTCGTGTAAACCTGCGTAATATAATTTTATCGATGGTTGAAGTGGTGATTAAATGTGCCACAAGGGGAGCTGGGGGGAGCATAGCTTTCAAAATTACTAACGGCCGCCTACCAAAATAAATAATATTTTATTTGTTCTTGAATTCAATGAAAAATGAGGATTTTCAATATTCGTGTTACTAAAACAAATATATCAATACATTATCGTGCATAAAAATGTACAAAAAAAAAAATTTGGACAATTCAGAATCAAGATTAAGTTCTGGGGCTATTTGATTATAGTTCGTTGGGTAACCATAACATAAATTAATCTACTCTGCTTAGATTGTATATGATCTATAGATAAATAAACCATGGTAAATCATGGTCACAATTATTGCCGTTTGCTGTGCGTTCTCACGCTTTTCATTGTTTAATTGAATATGCCAATATGAATAACCCAAATGAAAGTGTTATATTAAATGCCATATTTAACTTCAAAAAAAAAAGACTGACATACTTCGCATGATGAGTAGGCCACCCTTGTAGATGAGAACTTAGGAAGGTAATCTTCTAAAAAAAACTACATTAAACTTAACTTTTTCTTTTTGAGCACTATAAGTACAACTTATAATTTACCTCCTGTTAAATTTTTAAGTATGAATGTTTGGTTTAAGAATTTTATTCACAGAATATCTACCGAATAAATATTACGTAAAAAACTCGAAAAATTAAAATAATTGTAAATTACTCAAAAATGGTTCGAATTTTTTGAAAATCTTATCACGTTTATAAAACAAATACAAGATTTTTGTTCAATTTCAAGTTTTTATGAATATTTTTAACAACAACAAAAAAAAACAAAACTGAAAATAATAAAATTATTTTCGTAAATGTTCACAATATTTTCCAAATATTCAAAAAACTGTTCGGAAAATCAAAATTTCTCTCCTTAAAGTACTAACTAAATTGGAACAAGATTTTTTGAGGACATTTAAAACAAAGTATATATATATAAAAAAAAAAAATAACTAAATAAAAAATATACAACTTTGTAAAACCTTGGTAATTCCTCGTTCGCTCAGAATCATAAACCAATGGATAACAAATGATTGTTGTTGTCATTCAGTGATCTTTTCATATTCACTGCAGTATACTATTTATACTCAAGCCCCTACTAGGTGAACACATGGATATGCTATTCTTCGTGAAAAAATGTGTAATTTTAAGACATCATACAGTTTATTTTACAAAAAAGCAAATAAGTAAACATTTCATAAGCTAACACGACTAATCACTACTATATTAATAAAAAAAAATAATTATGATTACTGACAAACTGGTAAACGAAAATTATTAAACTTTAAAAGCGGCATCTTTCGATTTCCAATTGGTCAGTGGCAATCATGCATAATAATTATGATGACAATTTTTCTTTTTATGATTACTAAATAAAATAAATATACGGTTATAACTAATTTATATAAGCACAGAATATATTAATATATAATATACCTATTAGATATTTAGATATCAATGGGCCTAATGGAGGAGGAGGGGTCCGGACTCCATTAATCCCTCTCCCCCATAAATTCACCACTGTATCAGGAGTGTTTTGGTGATTCAGTTTTTGATGGACAGAAATTATATAATATATAGAGTGGTTTTTTAAGCATGTTCACTCCATTTTTATGGTTAAAATATGTATTAATACAAATTCTGATTTTTGGAATTTTTAAGTACAGTTAATAACGATATGTTCACAACATTTAAGAAGTATTCTGTAGCAATAACAAATTTGGTTTTTCAAATGAAAACCTATATGTTTTGATGCAAATTGCTAATCCACTGATTTTTTGAAATTATTAAAGTATATCTTTTGTAATCGAAATTTGATCGTAAAGTTTCTAAGTTATTCCTTTAAATACTGAGAATATTAGCCTTTTATGTGGTTTGGATACCGACTGTTTAATTGGAGTGATATGTAGGCAATTTCTTGTTTTGAATTGTGTAGTTATTTCTTTTATTATTTAAACTAGAATAACTCTGAAATTTCAAATTTCGATTATAATAGGTCAACATTTTTAGAAAAATCATCAAATTCACAATTTGCATTAAAACATGTTGGTTATCATTTGAGAAACCAAAGTTGATATTGTCACAAGATACTTATTTTACTCCTAAGTAAAGTAAGCGAAGTGAAAAATCTAAGTATTCGAAAATATCAACTTTCAATACACTTAAAAATTCAAAATCAGAATTGAAATGTATGCATTATTTAATTATAAAAATTGGCTGAGTAAGTTTAAAAAATCATCATGCATACTACTGTTAATATAATATTTAAGAAAAATGAGATAATGCGGAATATATCCCCCTCATCTCTGCGTATGCCATTCTTTCTACGAAAACACTGTATACTCTCAACATTTCGTTAAAAAATCTTGGGTTTACTGTGTATGCTCTCAAATAGCTTTTGAAAAAAAATAATAACCGCAGTGATATACTACTACAATTATCCGTTCATACAACTTAAACCGTATGTCACTAAAACCGCAACAGTATTATAAATTGTATTTATTTCAGATATTTCAGTACTTCTAATAAAACAAATTCACAACAATTTTTTTTTTAAAATAATTTTTAGTGTTTAATTTTTTTAATTTAAATTAACTTTTTAATTTACTATAGTACGAGAAAAATTATGACAAACGTTGACATCCTTTGGAATACCAAAAAAGATTATCACACTGACACAAAATATATGTAACACAATAATCTATATTAGGGTTAAATTTAAGAATGTCCTGTCACCTGTCTTTACCATTGCAAACAGATTACGACAAGGAGATTCAATGTTATCGTTACTATTCTATCTCGCATTAAAGGTATAATACGAAAAGTTCCACGAACAGAATCAATGACACTGGGGGATGGAAATATATTGCATACATATGCGGTCGATATCGTGGTTATAGGAAAAACGCAAAATTAAGTAAAAAAAATATGATGGAAATGATGAAAGCGGAAAAAAGTATTAGTCTAAAAGTTAACATGGAAAAAATGAAGTACATAATAATGACAGAAAAATAGGAAATTGATCATGTATAATTATAGATAACAATAAAATAGAACAGATACGAGAGTTTCTATATCTAGGGGTGACATTGACAGGCTATGGCGAAATAAACATAAGACTATCCACGGTAAACAGGTGTTACTTTGCTCTAGCAAACCTTTTTAGGTCAAAACTTATGTCGAAAAACTCAAAAAAACCACTATATACTAGCTACGTGAGACCAGTCTGTACGTATGCCTGTGGTACATGGCCTGAAAAGTGAGATACGCGTTCACGGAGAAAACCACGCCGAAGTTGGGTGAACTGACGCAGTCACGAGAGATAGACGGGAATGTATCACAAAACAGAGAAATATGGAAACGTTTAGTTTTGGCAACTAAAAGTCTAAATGGCTTGTAAAGCTAGAAAAAAAAATATAATTTTTCTTATAATTTCGGATATCTATTTCCCTGTGAACAGCACAAACATTATATTATATATATAATACGCCAGTAACGCAGGACGCAATATTTGTATATTCTCAAAAAATGTCGACGAGAATACCTACCATTGCCTTCGGGGGGGGGGAGGGGGGGAGGAGCACGCAACACAATTACGAGACACACGACTTCTCTAGTATGGAATCGGATTGTCGAGTACAATAACAATAAATAATAAGAATACGATCTTTGAGTCGACGATGTAATATTGCACGCGTCTGTAAAGACATAATTTTGTAATGTATTCAGCAGCAGCAACGGTGGCGGCGGCGGCGGTGGTCGTCGTCGTCTACGTCCGACGGGTTCGCGGGTGAACGGACGGACGGGTTACTCTGTGTTATAACAAGCGATTTTATAACCGCTCTCCCGATAAGTGGTACAATGACGGCCGTCCAAGGTCGTCCACCTGCTATCCGTGCGGCTGATCAGTGGCGACCCACATTTCGCCGGTTTCGCACTATTAAAACAGCGCCGAAGCGATCGTCACCGGCCTCTGGTTCGGTCCACATTGGCGATGCTAAAGGATAGGAACTGCAACAGTTTTCCCGTCGAAAATAACGGAATTTCCCTTTATTTCCCGCCGAAAAATTTGCCCCAGAAATGCGTATGGATTTTCACAAAAAAAAACTGACATAAACTAATGGATTTCAAACATTACGCTATAACGAATCAAAAACAATTATAATATCGTGAGTTTTAAAGATCCTAGAACCCAACTTTATTACCAGTTTTGAAATCCACCAATTATATATTAGAAGGTCAAGGAAGGGTGTTTTTTTTTTTTTTAACTTGGTGTTATTTATGGTGTAGAATGCCGATATTTATATTTTCGAGGTTTAAGGGCCTAAATTTGAAATAGTTTTTAAATGTGGATGAAGGGTTTTTCAGATATTTACAGCGGCACAAACACTAAACGTATAAACTATGACGAAAAATAGTGTAATGTATTAGATTACTTATCAAGTCGTAACTAAACTGAGGAAAGATACGGGCCGAATAATGCTACACTTTATTAAAGTCGACATTATAAATAATTATAAAATCATAATAATAAAATTCATTAATTGGTATAATATCGTATATTTTCACATTCCCGCATTTGTTCAACTTAAAATAGTGATTTGTTAAAAATAACATTTTTTTTTTCTCGAATATTGTTCATAGTACACAATTTATCAAATAGTAAACTAAAAAGTTTTAACGCTTATTTTTAAAAAAAAAAAAAGACTGATTTTTTCGATTTTAAAACACTATACAACAACGTTAGTGACCTCGTTATACATTATTATCACAGAATATAAATGCTTATCACGGATGAATTTAATAATTTTAATTTTGAAATCAAATAAATAATTTGTATTGATTTTATCGACCAACATATTTAATTTTAATCATAATTATTAATTAATAGAGATACCTCTTATATTTTATAAACTTTATTAAAGTTGAAATGTACCATAATTTTTAGTAAAATACACAAAGTAAACCTTTGTATTGTATTGCATTGTATGATATTTTCAAATTAAAAAGATATATAATTTCCTTGTTTCCATTTCGCAAAATATATGCTAAAATGTCTCCGCGTGAAGAGACAGCATTACTTCACATATTAATAATATTATATAGGGCCATCGCTCCCTCCCATTCTTTTGCAAATATACTCTTTGCTCTAATTTACTCTGACTTTGATTTTTATAATTTATGTACAACATATTGGAGATAAAAAAAAAAAAATATAAAAAAATTGTTCTTTAAACTAAATCTGTTATATCGTTTATAAGTTTAATATAATACTGTGCTATTGTGCAGTAGGTACTTGACCTATTTGAAGTTTTTTATTTGCTTCAATGAAAAATATTTTGTTATTATATTTTTAGTAAAGATGTTTAAATGTATACCAAATCAAAAATTACACGATATTATATTAAGATTTGATAAATAACAGTTATATTTTTTAGCTTAACTAGGAATGCATTGGTTTTTCTGTAACGTGTAATACTTGTTTTCATTTTATTTTTCTAAACACAACCAACTTTAAGGGTTGTTTCTGATTTCAAATTCGATTTAGATGATACAATTTGAAAAGTAACTATTTTTCGGATTTTCCTTGTAGTTTTCTAAATATTGGGGGAGAAACGTCGGAAGTTGGGATTAATTGCGTGATAATAATTTATATTATTTTCAATTTAGTTTTTTCGTTGTATTTCAGTTAGGAACAACGGCAGTGACCCAAATTTGCATTAAATATCTATACTACCGTTTCCTAGATGTAGTGCAATTTTTAAACCATTCTGTCAATTCTCGAGTTATTTATAGTTTTTTGAAACTTTAAATTTATTTAAGTTTTTGTTTGTTTTTATGTGGATACATTTTTTTTTTTTTAATATGTGGTTCATTATAATGTGACCATTAGGTACTATAAAAATATTGAAAATCCGTACTCACAAATTTGTTTAAGAAGAGGTTATAAAGTTCAAATTTTGATGAATATCATAAAATTCACTGCTTTTCACGTATACTATTTTCCAATTGTTAAGCTCTAGAAAAATTCTCAAAAAACTACGGACATTTGCAATTTATTTGTTAGTTAGGTACAAATAATACAACTTTCAGTTCATTAAGTTTATTAAAATAAGATTAACTGAACTTCGCTCAGTATCATTTTGAATACGCTTATAATATAAATTAAGTTACTCTATATTTACATATTATCATCCTAACTTTATACCTACAACAGAAGTACACCCATCAGCAGTACGATGGTCATAACGGCGATGCATAAAACACCCGCTATGTTCTTAATGACAAATCCTGAATACGCCACTCTATTGAGAAATCAAATGTTCACCATTAAAAACAAGAATATACACTGTGATGAAACGTCAGTATTTTTATGGTTGATTTTTATACACATAAGTACAAGTATAACCAGTTATAGGGTGACATTGTTTAAATCAGAAAAAGTAACAAAAATCACTGTGTTTAAATTACATTTTGGAGTATGTACATCTCGAAAATGTGTGTACGTCACTATATAGTGATATGAAAACGCTCTATTACATTACGAATAACGCATTTATAGTGTCAATTCGTTCGGAACAATAATTATTTAAATTTAAATACGTGATATTATTATTTTTGTTTATAGACCAACGACAGCGAACAACGCGGACCAAGGTCTTTGGACGTGATCACCAGATTATTGGGCAGTAGCAGCGGCTCTGTAGTCGGCTCGTCTTCTAGCGGATCTTCGGCCGGTGTACCTTCTTCGTCGAGCTCGTCGAGTGGATCGGTGAGTATTTCATAATGTCAGCTGCAATTATGTTGCTTCACAAATAAACTTGACCTAACATCGAGGGTTTCTGATTAAAAATTCCGGGCACGTGTGTAAGGCGTATAAAATATTCGACCGCATCAACGTAATAAACATTAGCTAATAGTAACAGAGTTATATTTATACCCAAATAGATCGTTGTCTTGTATACATGGTTTTGATTTTGGTCATGTTTAATTAATCAGTAAGCAATTATAGTACTTTTTTCGTAAGGTCGAGTATTTTAGCTATATATATAACATAAACAACGTATGTATAGTATTCGGTCTAGCATCATGTACATGTTCGTATTATATTAAATTCGATGGTCGTTTTTTATCGGCTCGTCTACAAAATATTCTGGTATATTTTTACCCGTGGATGTAATTAGGCGTTTCACTACAAATAAAAAGAGGCCACCATGAAATCATTTTACGAACGAAGTATCTACTAGAATATTTGTTAATTTTTTCAGGGGTGGAAGAGTGATTACATTTTAGATTCTAAACAGAGCGAAGAATATGTTGCTTTTACAGTGAAGTTTTTTTTAAATTTATAAACAACTTTTTAGAACGAAGTTCGGTTAAATATGTTTTAAAAGGTCGTAATATTTACGAATTTTGTGAAAATTTGATTTAAAAAACACTATATATATATAAAAAAAAAAATACTACATTACACTCAACTTTTTTTATTATTTTTTTTTTTTGACCATTAAGGACGACTTATAATGCACTTTCTGTTAAATTTGCAAGAATTTCTATTTAATCAATCAGTAGCAGAGTATGTACCTACCAAATAAAAATTACAAAAACCTTACAAATTAAAATGACTACAACTAGTTAACAGACTATTAACTATAACTCAAAAATGGCTCAAATATTTTTAAAATTTGATAAGATCTATAAGAGCATATATAAGTTTTCTGTAAAAATGTCAATTCAATACGAATATGTTTAACTAAATACTCGTATTACAACAATAAAACAAGATTGAAAATAATTTTCCTGTTTTTTCTACCTTTTTTTTTTTTTCAATTGTAGTCAATTATTAAAAAACAACAGAGAAAATCAAAAAACGACTTTCTTACCCATCAACAATAACAATGTAACAAAAAAGGTCTCTTGTTGGTTTTCTATTAGAGCAATATTTCTGGTGGATAACAAAAAGCGTAAAAATTTTAAATAATACAATGGTACGCTGTTAATTTTGATAGTTTTTCATTTTCGTCTTTTCCCTGTTTTCTCAATTATTATGAAAAATACTCGGAAAATCAAAAAATGACATATTTAATGTAATAACCAGATAAGATTTATTTTCAGAAAAGGTGCTACACTTGATACATTGGAGCAAGTTTTGTTTTCGAAAAGTGGTTTACAGACCGAAAAAAAAAATAAAAACATACATGATATTAAAACCGACAAATCCCTCGAAACGCTTCAAATCTGAAATGTTCTAGATATATTCTTTGTATTCTTTTCTAGTTTAATTACACCGCCGTTAATAAATTACAATAAAAAATACATAACATTGTGTTGTTGACTATTATAGAAAAAAAGTTTGTTGTACTTACAATTCAGTGTAGATTAGGTACCTATTAATTTTTGTTCCCACTCGGGATTTTATAATTAACACAATTATTAATGCACGTAATGTTCAAGTAATTAATTATGAGATTCTCACCGATCTGATGAATAGATAAACAAAGTAATTAAATCTATTTCGGTTGATTATATAATTATTATAAAATTAATAAAACATTTAAGATCATTAAGATCATTCGTTTTCATGGCCGTTAAAGAAATATAAATAGCTTATCAATAATAAACATTTTCTTCTTCTACAACTGTCAAATTTGACGTCGTTCAAAATAAACGGACAATAAATTTAGTGTGTTCACCAATTAAATATTAGTTCTTACCGTACTCGCAGTATTTAAGAAAACAACTTATGGCTTTATGTATTTTTAAGTATAAAAAGTGAAACATGATTCTAAGTGGAACGTAGTATTAGTTGTGTTTTTTTCCTTTATTGCTAAGGGAACTGCAGAGATCAACAAAAATCTAAAATAAAAAAAGGATCTAGGGGATGAACTGCAGACAATTTCAATAAATATTTAAAATAAAGTACCGTCAGTCAGAAATCATCGTTTAATATACAATAAAAACAACTTGGACTATCTGTCTAACTATTGAAGTATTAAAAACAAAAAAAAAAAGTATTCTTTTGGAAAAATAATTATTATATTTCATATATGAATTCGAAAACATGTTTCAATAAAATAAAATAAAGTAAAAAATCCGTCCCTTTTAATGTATGGCATGAAAAAGTCGGAGAATACTGAATAAGTATTTTCTTTGAAAGCATATGCATCTCACTGAAACTTAAGCTTATTTGTTAAAAAAAAGAAGATCTAAAATGGTGTAAAACGGGAAATGTACCTATTAGAGATAACAATATGTTTAATGATAACAAAAAGTCATGTAAATCGTGTATAATCATTTATATCGATATTTAAAATTGGAAATCGTGTTACAGAGCGGCAGCGACCCGGCAGCTCCTCAAGCGGACAGTAGTGGCAGTAACTCGGGTGGTAGCGGTAGTGGATCCATATTAAATTTGGTGGCCCCGTTGGTGGGCAGCAGCAGTGGCGTGAGTTTTTAACACATTGTTTTAATTTAAAATATATACTATTGTAAATTATCTCCCGGTAATACTAATTAATACCGTATGTCTTTCAACTCTGCGTTTGTCAAACAGAGCGTAAGCGCCGGATCTTCTGGTAGTGCTTCCGGAAGTAGTAGCGGTAGCAGTGACAGTAGTGCGGCGGATCCAGCTGGTTCTAATGGATCCGGCTCCAGCTCTGGTGGCAGCGGTTTTTCCAGTATCCTATCTATATTGGGACCCATTGTGGGCAGCAGTAGTGGTAGTGGTGTAAGTATTTAAATATAATACTTATTATTACTAATGTGAAAATTTTAATTGGCCGAAAAAAAATATATACGCGCAAAATTTGGTACGCATAACGCGGATTCTTTTGTGTGATATATTTAACCGTATTCAAGTAAAAAAAAAATGATCTATCCATTTACTATATATGCATACATCTCTCTATGGCAAGCCGATGTTTATGCAAAGCATTACAGTTTAGGAAAATTGCTCAGGTAAAAATTACTCTCTAGACGAAGAACAAAATATCTTGTTTTGATAAATATGATTTTAGACGGATTCATAGACATCGATAATAGAATATGGAGTATGCAGAAGGAGGACAAATAGGGAAGTTCAAATTATTTATTAAAAAACAAATATAAGTGCTTATCTCAGTAGCTAACGACTTAAGTGTGCAGGCCATGTCTCGAATAAACGGCCCTTTAAAAGAAATCCTTGGTCAAAAAATTAAATCAAAAAAGACCCAGGAGCCGTTCAAGGCAGCTTTGGCAGACAAAGATTATGATAACTTAATCAAATGTTCCCAAGAACTAACAATAGAAGATAGCGTGACAGAGATAGATAGAGGAGTATAGTTGAGGTAGTGCGGGTCTTCCAAGGACTGAAAAAGCTTAAAAAAATATTTATTTTTTTTTTATTTTGCGTTAAGTTGAATTCTAACCGTTTTTCACATAATGACCTAATGTGTAATACAATTATAACATTTGTATATAGGGTAACGGCGGTGATGGGGGAGACAGTTCGAATGGCGGTAATGGCGCCGGAAGTCCCGCAGGTTCCAATGTTCTGAGTCTGTTGACGGGTCTGCTGGGCAGTAGCAGTGGTTCGTCGAGTGGCGGTCAATCATCGTCGCCAAACGGTGACGCAAGTAATGATTCGGTCGGTATTGTTTTTCCTCAACAAATCTACGATAATAATAATAAATACAGAAGCGTTTTGAATTAGATGTTGTAGTCATTGCAGACATGTTCCGAGGGGAGGGGAGGAGGTTAGAATGTAATACGAAAAATAAAAAGTTGAAAAACATTCGTTTCAATAATATTAAAAATAATTGTATTTCACAATATATAATTACATAATATTATATTGTTATGATTTGAACGGTACATATTATATTTTGAATAGTTTTTGAATGGCAATTGAGATCAAGGATCTTTTTTACGCCAAGTTCATTAATACTGATGATTATTTCAAATTAAAAAAAAAAAAAAAAAACAATTTCTCTTATACTCGTTCATGCGGATTTGGTATCTGTACAGCCTTTTTGTAATAATAACCTATTAAACTATTTAATCTGTTTAATCAATTTAAACAATTGCCAGTTAAGGTTATAGGATCTGGTTCTCCAAATTTTAAAAATTTTAGTGACCATATTAAAGTAAATAATTTTTTACTAATCTATTGTTCGATAATAATTTAAGGGAAAGGGGTATAGCTGTTTTCATGGACCAAAATGATTTTACAAAAAAAACCCTCGATTTATTTTTTTTTTTCAATTTAATATTAAAGCAAAAAACTTTTTACAAGTCACATTAAACTCTAGTTTTTAATTTATCTGTCAAAATTAAAATTAAAAACTAACAGAATTTGAATTTTGAAAATCGGAGTTTTATTGCTACCTACAAAAAGTTATTTTCTTTCAAATAATATTAATAAAAAAAAAAACATCGAAATCTGACGAGTCTACTAGTTTTCTCACGAGGCGTGCTTTCGAAAGTGGTTACTACAGCTTTAAAGAGTTATGCAAAGAAACAATAGGTAATAGTATTTCGATAATCGAAATTATATATTTAAAATTGGCATTAAGTACGTTTCATTTAAATTGCATACAATAGTAATATAACAAACTAAAATAATAAAATAAACACATTCGAATCATCAATTTTTTACTCTTATATTCCAAAAAAGATGACTACAATAACTAATTATTGTAAAACTATATTCTGTCTATTAAATGTCTGTTTTACATACTAATAATATATGATTGATTTTATTGTTTTGTAAAGGGTGCCGGAGCGGGGGGTTCTGGATCCGGTAGCATATTACAGTTGATTGGGCCAATATTAGGCAGCAGTAGCGTAAGTACACAGTTTTTTCTCGAAATACTTTGTGTTCAACTATCATTTTTAGTTAAATTATATTTAGTGCATATGTATACCACCGCAGCAGCAATATAACACTTTTCCGTATTTATTTAGTACGTATTAACGTAAAGGATCGCAAATTCATATATATATATAATTAACAATTTTATTTTTTATGAAAACAAACAAAAATTTTGCATGTAATACAATATAGTAGTGGTAGTTTTCCGAACCACAAGCCACGTAGTTAGTAACCAACGACTCTTGTAAATTAAATAGTTATAAACTCATAATGTTATGTTAAAATATGTTCAGTATGGCTATATGAAATTATGAACAAGTAATGTACAAGGTCATAATAATATAAGATGATCTTATACTGATGTCTATCAAGGGCAACTTCTAAAACGAAAATTCAAAAAATACTTAAATACCTACAAAGTTAACGATGATGACTATTCCACAAAATCTCTGTTTTAGATGTTGATTTTTATTTATTATTTTTTGTGAGCAACTTTTCTACCAGAAATTTTGCTCCAATTTTCAATTGTCACACTTTTTCTGAAAGAAAATTTTATCAGGGTGGCATTTTAAGGAGTTCAATTTTTGGTTTTTAAACTATTTTCATAATAACTGGGAAAAACCTAGAAAAATCATAGGAATAACGGGAACATTTACGAAATATATAATTTTTTAATTTGTTTTTTGTTGTGATTTGGTTAAAAATATTCAGAGAGACTTGAAATATAAACAGACAGCTTAAATTTACCTTTTCTAGACGTGTTAAAATTTTCAAAACATTTTAACTGTTTTTAATCTATTTATAGGCATTTTAATTGTGTGAGTTTTTTTTATGTCATTTTTATTCGGTAAGTACTCTGTTGATACGATTGTTAGACCAAACAGAAAAGCTTGACAATTTACTGTAAGTTAGTTATAAGTCAGTCTTTCTGGTAAAATAAAATTGAGTTTAATGTAAAATTTTAGTATCTAATTTTAATGAAAATCGTAAATATTACGACATACTAAAACATATATAACCGAACTCTGCTTAGAATCGTTTTTCGTTAGCAAAGATAAATCGTTGCTTAAAAATATACATTAAATTCCCCTCTATAAACTACCTTCCAAATTTCTCATCTACAGCAATCGTCAAAGTATGTCCGTTTTATTTTCGTTAATTCTAATTTTTATGAAGTACAAATATAATTTTGATATAGCATTTATCATAAAGAAAATCAATAACAATATAATATTATATTCACTTACAGTTAATAGATAAATTTGTAAATAAACCATATCGATAATTATAATTGTTCATAAGAATGAGTAATAAATAATGTACAATTGTGTATCAATAGTTAAATATAGTTAGTTAGCAATGATATAGTATACAAAAAATGGTCAAATTAATGATAAATACCTATATGTATTATAGTTCTTTTATGTATTAAATATTATAAATTATTAGGTGATTTATTTAAACAGTTTATATTTCTTAGCGTATATATTGTTTAATATTATTACTTACCTTTGAAATGTAGAGAGCACTATGCAGATGAAATCACTTAATTAGTCATGGCAAATGGGGTAAAATGAGAAAAATTAGTATTTTCTTTTTAATTAAGTATAATAAAGGGCAACCCTAATGCACGCATATGTGTATGTAGGATGAAGATAAACCACTAACTGATGGAAGTGATTACATTGATAACCTTATAATGGATGGAACAGCAGATCATTTTTATGAAGACAGCGACAGCAACGCAATAAACATTGATATTAGAAGTGTGAATTTGGAATCAAAACTTGAATTGGATAGTTCTTATTCCAAATCATTAGGTGACGACGATGGTAGTAGTGGTGAATTAAATTCAGAGTCAATGCACGACTTAGCTAGTTCTCCTTCGGGTTCGTCGAGTGGTAGGGATGCTGGAGGTGGTAAAGGATCAGATTTAAGCTCAATACTCGATTTATCTGGTCCTCTTTCGGGATCGCTAAGTGGCGGGGATGGTAATAGTAGTGGTTCAGATTTAGGATCAATACTCGATCTGGCTAGTCCTCTATCGGGGTCGTTAAGTGGTGGGGATGGTGGCGATGGGGGATCGGATTTAGGATCAATACTTGACTTAGCTGGACCTCTATCCGGTTCATTAAGTGGCGGGGATGGTAGTAGTAGTGGTTCAGATTCAGGGTCTATACTTAGCTTAGTTGGTCCTCTATCTGGGTCATTAAGTGGAGGGGGTGGTAATGATAGTGGGTCGGATTCGGGTTCAATATTAAATTTAATAGGACCATTATCTGGATCATCGAATGGCAGTGGAGGGGGCTCAGATTCAGGATCAATACTCGATTTGGCTGGTCCACTTTCGGGTTCGTTAAGTGGTGGGGAAGGTAGTAGTAGTGGTTCAGATTCGGGGTCTATACTTAACCTAGCTGGCCCTCTATTTGGGTCGTTAAGTGGTGGGGGTGGTGGATCAGATTCTGGGTCGATATTGAATTTAGTGGGACCATTATCTGGATCATCGAGTGGCGGTGGAGGTGGTGGCGAAAGCAATAGTGGATCGAATTCAGGAACAATACTTGAATTAGCTGGTCCTCTTTCCGGCTCATTAAGTGGTGGAGAGGGAAACAGTGGTGGTTCAGATTCGGGGTCAATATTGAATTTAGTCGGACCATTATCTGGAACATTAAGTGGTACTAGAGACGGAGAGGGAGGATCGGATTCTGGGTCTATTTTAAATTTAATTGGACCACTATCCGGTTCATCGAGTAGTGGTAATCAGAATAGTAACAAGGGTGGTAAAAACTTTAACGGTAATAGTAATTCTACTTTTAACACCACAAAGAACTCTATAAAGGGGGGTTCCTTTAAAACTTCTTCAATGCATGTCTATGGGATGAAAAATTCTTTCCTAGCTAATCTGTTGGCATCCATCCTGTCACAATCTTCCACTGGTTCTACGTCTGCGTCTGCCGCTGCATCTTCGTTGTCATCATCTGATTCAACAGTAGTGGCAAGTAACATGCTTATATAAAATGACTCGAGAAACCCAATAAAAATCTCAAACAATTCAATAATTTAAAACAACAAAATTAATACAATTAAAATATTAAAATTTGTATAATTACATTACAATATATGTAACAATAAACAATTATCATACATGGTCTGTTAGTATCTGTTCTTATTCGTTTTACATGCATTTTTTTTATAGTTAACATTATTTCATGCAATCAAAAATGAATAATTATTCCGTCTCCCCTCAAATAATAATAAATACTATTATCTATCTCGTGCTGCAGCGGTTAATAGTGTTACAAATATACGTATAATATAATTGATTATATATATATATATATATATATTGGTATGAAAACGAATTTTATTTATATTTTTATTTGCGTCGGTTAGAGCGGCGGAACCGGTGGTGACCGTGGAGATGGAAGTGCCGCCGGTGACGGTGCCGGAGGTGGTTCCGATATCGTGGGACTCCTAGGATCGAGCAGCGGTTCCAGCAGTGGGCCCAGTGGCGGAGCAGCGGCCCCCTCTACGGCGGTAAGACGTCAGATCGGGAGCGGTGGTTTTTTCCGTAGGTCGTTTGCGTCCACGGCACCGGCTAATGATATCCAAGACGTCTCGTACACGCAACTATTGAACGACCGGCCACGGTCCTTGCGCCAGCGGTTGTGGTTGTAGATGGCCAGCAGTGAACAGTGGCGTAGTACACGCTTACCGCATCACAGTACCTATAGTAGTAATTCGGAGTACCATCATCAGGTGGAGCTCTCTATATATAAACACATATACATGTATAGTTTTTTTATAATATGGTCTAAAAAACTGACCAGCAGCACTCTTCACCAATGTAATAATTGGTGTCTAAATTAAATGATAAGGACTCGTGACTAATTGCCTATTTAAAAACGATCAAAATAATGAGTTAAATATTTCCCTTACTAAACGCATAAAAAAAAAAAAAAAAATGCACTATATTAGAATAAATAATGGTGCGATTTGACGGTTTTGCTGTATATTGTGATTTTTGTACAAATTTTAAAAATATTTTTGAGAGAATCTGTTTTGAACAATCAGTTTTTAAAAATAACTATTTTGTACGCCCATTATATTATATTATATTAATATAGGGGTGTTACTATAGTTTTCTACAATGAAAAAGATCTCTCGGCGTCAACAGAAGTTATTGATTATTTTTTTAAAATCAGATTTTCATACATTTATCTAATCTATTCACTCTAACGTTTCATTTTATATTTTATTGACCGGTGTTAAACGTAATCTTGATTTTTTTTTGTCCGCCTCTCCTATATTGATAAATTTTGTAACAAAATCTAGTAAAATCCCGAAATTTCACGTCAGATTAAATATTATTAATGCCCTTTACGCGGTTTTATCAGTTTTATCAGCATACGAGTGCATGTGTATTATATATTTTTGTTTCTTATTAATCTATCCAATCCTAATTGTTTAATTAGAAATTATTTATATGCATATAATACATGATAAAGGATAATGTAATATAAGTACCAACGTTATAAACATTGAGCTTTTCTAGGGGATTTTTTTTTTTCATAGCCGTTACAATATTATACTTCGTTTGTTATACGACGTGAAAAACTCATTTGTGTATAACGTCACTTGGCCATTATTTGTTCGAGACTGTTTCACAAAATTAATATGCAAATCGTCCCGAGCCCTATATTATAATAGTCATAATCGTCGTGTATACGATATTTTATGCATGCATGTATATATATATTTTAATAAATTAGCGTACGGATGGATTACCATGGACGACGACGACGACGACGATTATATGATTGACGGCAACAATAATTCGCAAACATAATATTATTATAAATAGGTGCCTATATATACACATATTTATACATAGAGAAACGTTTATTAACGTTTGGGTTGCGAATAATGTTGATTGGGTGACCTTGGCATTTTTAAAGTTGAAAAACCGTACGGTTTAAATATTAAAGCAATTATTAAATAAAAAACAGACGGAAAAGCCTTATGAAAAAAAATTGTTTATTACCTAGTACCTAGTTGATACACTTAAGAGGGGTATAGGAATATACCGTTAAATTTCAATTTTATTTGAAAACAAAAATGATAGCGTGAACAATTTGGTAAATATCTTGGGTTCGATTTGTCTACATAAAGGTTGAGAACCGCTGCTATAGAGAACGCACGCAATACACTCCAAACGGTTATAATAATTACAGAGTTCACTCTGTTATACAAATACTTCGTTAACCTACCGGTTAGATCGTTTTTTTTCCCCATACATACATATATCCCGTTGTTACATTCACCGACGAGCAAATTGATCATAAAAAAAAAAAAAAACATTACAATAATGTTTTACGTACCTACCGGTGGTTCTCGGAGACTATAATATTAGTATTGTAGTAGGTACACATCGCGCATAACGCACGTAGTCAAAATCTCGTTAATTTTTTAGCGTTTTATTACGTAACCGAAAAACGTCGGTTTAACAGAATGAATATTTTATACGACCCGCGTCCGCCGTATGTATAGGTACTTGTTCGAAAAAAATTAATTTTTAAAACAGTATTTTATATACGTTTTTTTTTAATTATTAGTGTCAGCAGTAAAGTTGTATACAGGTGGTACTCGATGAGTAGGTACTAGTTATTACTTCACATTCTGGTAATAATCCATACGTATTTCGCTATACGTAATTTCATAAGCGGTTGAAATAAAACACATATTATATGTATATATATATTTTTTTTCATACGTAAAGTAAAAGTATACTGTTAACATTTAAACGTTCACTTTCTAGATTTTTTTTTTTTAACGATCAATTTGTGAATGAATTAGTCCACTTTTTAGTATAATCGGGATCAACGATAAAAATCGCCTCTCGCCGCCCTGTTCGAAGGCCAATATTATTATTTATTAGTTCATATTACCTCGATTTATCGTCGTCCATCGAATCAGTTCCTAATATCAAGTAATAATATCGTTACCCAATCGATGACCGTTGAATCGGATCACGATAACTTTTTTTTGCAACAGTGGTTCTCGAAATAATATATTTTCAAATGAAAGTATACAAAGTAGGTACACCTACGCAACGTTTAATATTCCGTCCGACACAGTGCTGGAAATTATAATATTAAAAACTCGATGTTTTAAACTATCATAATTATAATTTTTTTAATCATATACAATATTAATAACATTAGATAATCGAATTTAGAATATTATGTCACCGATGGTGTAATGTCCCGATTTCAATACTTATAGTATTACACAAATATTAGCTCTTTTTTTTATGTTTTGAATTTTGAATTTATCGTAATACATAATACAGATAGACATATAACTTTCAATAATAACAATGACCATGGATTTCAAATAAAATGATAATTTTAAACGATTTCGGCAAGCCGTGATGTATTTATGAAATAGAAGTCGAGGTAGCCAAGTAAATCCAGAGTGGGGCAGTCGGAGAAAAATGATCACTATTTATTTGGTGAGGTTTGAGTAATATTCATAACGTGTGAATGAAATGTAATCATCCTCCAGGATTTCCAAAGATAAACCGAAGAGGGATGTGAGAGGCGAAGCCTTTCACGAGTCTGACATAAATTTGACCAGCCCCTACTAATAAAAACTTGTAATTGCACCAATGATAATAATATTAAAGTTAACGAAAAAACAACGTTTTTAATTTTGTTTAGGACTACTACAAACATTTAGTAACCTACTCTAAACTTAATATAAAGTCTGGCTAGTGAACATTGCAGTTCGGAAACAAATAGTAATAGCTAATAATCAAAAAAGTAAAACATCGTCTACCCGTAGGTTTTGGGAACCGATTCAATTACACCGATATAGCCGTTAAAACAATAACTCGCGCGAAATTCAAATTGTTTAAAAATAATCCTCGGTGATTAGAATCTATAGTAGTGTGTCGTCGTCCGTCTGTCAAGCTGTTATCCTCGCGTCGTCGTCTAAATATTATAAATTATTATTTTTTTTTTTTTTATATATTCTTTATGTATACGTATTAAACCGGGAAATATACGAACATAAAAATGTAATTGGTACGATTTCGCTCATGTAAAAACATAAAATTCATATCTAGGTACGCGTTAAAAACATTCACATCACGACGTAAAGTGTGTGCGTACTTATAGGTAATAGTTTATTTAAATCAACAGTGACGTATTTAAGATTTTTTTTTCCGGGGGGGGGAGGGGGGGTTGGAGCAGCGTTTGACAATATATTCTCCCACAGATCATGGATCATATAAACTCGCACTCATTATAAAACAACCGAGACACACCTCCTTCTTCCACTAAAGACGCCACTGTAGAACGACACATTATCATCGTCATAATATCATAATATAATATATTATTACTATATATATATATATTAATTTTCATTATTTATATTTATAACTATACTTATTTATAGTTTTAAAGTATTATTACCTAGTTAGTAAAAAAAAAAAAAAATAAAAAAAATAGTGCTTATGGTAAAATTAGTAATTATATATTAATATTGTATAGTAATGTAGTATACGATTAATGTATCAAGATATGTATAGTATAGAAATATGGTAGCGGTGTATAATTTCAAAAATATTTATATTTAAATATATAATAAATAAATAGCAAATGCTATAATATTATAATTGAACACGTATTTTGTTTTTATTATTATAATATTGTTTAGCACAATCGCGATGACAATAACATTATTTATGTAAGTAGTTTACGATTTGAACCGCACATCCAGGAGCAAAACGACGAAGCACGACAATATAATATTATTATAGCATTGTAATTTTCACCAAACCGTATGAAGGTGTGAAACCTTAAAATTGTTGTTGGGTGAACTGTAGTTGTGTATGGTACCTAGTATAAACGTAGTTATGACACATAATCACTCAATGCACACCGTCACCGTCATCAAATTGTTGTTATAGCAGTCACCGGCAGGGGCGTGTCTTATGTATAGGAACTAGGTTATAGTGGTACTGCAAAAGATCCCCTCCTGCAGAACAAACTCGAACAGCTCGACGAGACAAAACGTTTTACACGGTAATAACGCGAAAGGCAAATCGTTTTATGGTAATTCAAATTAAAAACGCAACGAGATTGATCCAAATTTGATCGTCCAATGTATAACTATAGTCTATTACCGTTGATTATTATTGAGTGTACTCAATGCAAATTACTATATATATATATATATATATATATATCGTTCATTAACATTCTATCATGAATTAACCGCTAATTAAAGGTAACACATTTTTTTTGATTTTACATTATATTACATATTTTAATTGGGAATATTAAAAATATTTTCAATAACGTTCTGCAACGTGTTAAACGGAAAAATTGAAAACGTAAAACAAAAATAATCGAAAACGATAGAAGGAAAACAATAAACAGGAAAAAAAAAAACAAACGAGATACACATTTTTACTCTTTGAATTTCTAATATATGTACCAATGATAACTTATCATGATCGATAGGCTCGACACAATAACCGGATAAATCGCAATATTTTTTTTCTCAAAATTTGTTTTTTTTTTCTTAATTAATAATTTATACCCATTATAGCAATAATTTGATTTAAAAATCTAATCACCAAGGTACCATCTACACATAGGCGGAGATCCTGGCAAATATTAGGGGGACTTGAATATTTTGTAGTATTCAAAGCCCTGGGGGCTATACCCCCACACAATTTTCCAACCCAAATATGTATAACACAAATAAATAATAATTTATTACAAATTTAATCTTCTTCTTCTTCTTCTTCAGCTTAGCGGTCCATTCAGGACCATCGCTGCCATCAAAATCTCTCTCCACCTCTCTCTCTGATACGCTGTTTCTAAAGTTGCGTCCTGGTCTATCATTTCTATATCTTTGGCAACTACGTCAATCCATCGGGTTTTGGGTCGTCCTAGGGGTCTCGTTTTATTTATTTTATTGATGAGTACATTTTTAATTAATTGTCCATCTGCCCTCCATGCATGTCCGAACGATTCTAGTCGGTTTTTTCTAATAAAATGTATGTCTGGCTTATTATAAAGAGACTTTATATTTTCGTTGCTTCTTCTTTCGTATATCTGTGTTCGTAACACTNTGGGTCGTCCTAGGGGTCTCGTTTTATTTATTTTATTGATAAGTACATTTTTAATTAACTGTCCATCTGCCTTCCATGCATGACCGAACCATTCTAGTCGTTTTTTTCTAATAAAATAGAGTATGTCTAGCTTATTATAAAGAGACTTAATATTTTCGTTGTTTTTTCTTTCGTATGTCTGTGTTTCTGGGTTGAAGATTGGTCCATAAATGATTCGTAACACTTTCCTTTCGAACATGATAAGTCTTCTGCTATCACCTTTAGTCAACGACCAGGTTTCACAGGCGTATGTTATCACAGGTCGAAGGTAGCTATGATATAGTAGTATCTTTGATCCTCTCGACAACAGCTTAGACCTCAGGAGTTTGATAATACTGAAATAGCATCTATTTCCACTAGTGATCCGTTCATTTATTTCTATATGCATATCATTTCCGTTGTTGATGTTCACACCTAAATACTTAAAATTATTAACTTTTTCAAATTTATAATTATCCACTATTATGGAATTTATATTTGGTGGTCTTCTCGATACGACCATGTACTTAGTTTTCCCCTCGTTTACATGTAATCCTATTCCTTTACTTGCATTTATGAGTTTAGATGTTGAGTTGATGATTTCCTCTTTGGTTTCACCCATCAGCACAATGTCATCTGCATAGGCTAACATAACTTGTTCATTGCTTATCTCCATCCTTCTGTCATCGTTTGTGTCTCTAATTATTTTTTCGAGAGCTAAGTTGAATAGTGCAGGTGATAACGCGTCCCCTTGTTTAAGGCCAGATTTAACTTCAAAAAGATCTTGTATATAACACATTCTGCATAGTGTTTTTTCGTAATATGCTTTTATTAGGTTCACATACTTTTTGGGTATTCCTAAAATTACCAATGCCTTCCAAAGCTCTTCTCTGTCTACACTATCATACGCCTGCTAAAAACTTTTTTGCGTTGTATCTATTGATTTCTATATCTTCTATTTTCTTCTTTTCGTATAGACGTTTTTCTCTCCTTAACGCTTTATTTGTCAATTTTCTTTGTTCTTCATATTCTCTTATGCACTCGTCTGATGTATTTTGTAGTGCTTTTTTCTTCAATTTGTTTCTTCTGATAATTGCATTCTTACATAAATCGTTGAACCAGTTTTTAATATTTTCTTTTGGTTTCATTCCTAGAATCTCCGTTGCACTATTAACCACCGCTTCCTTTTTTTGTTCCAAATCGTATCAATTTCTGTACTATGGCTTATTTGATTTATATTAGTATTTTGTAATTCATGTGCAATTCTCTCAATGTAATTATGTTTTATTTCAATATCATTTAATTTTTGTATGTCGTACCTTATTGTAGGTTTCCTTTTTTCCAAGTTCCATTTTGTTGCCAGTCTCAGGTTAAATTTCGCATACACTAGGTAGTGATCTGAGTCTGCATCAGCTCCTCTATTCTCACATTCCTTATGCATCCCCTAAATCTTCTGTCGATAAGTATGTGGTCAATTTGATTAAATGTTCTTCCATCAGGGGATTTCCAAGTGAATTTGTGTATATTTTTTCTGGGGAAATATGTACTGCTTATTATACAATTTTTTGAATGTGCAAAATTTATCAGTCTGGTCCCATTTCCGTTACTAATTTCGTGTAAACTGTTAGGTCCTATGACCGGTCTATATATATGTTCCCTTCCAACCTTCGCATTTATATCACCTACTACTATCTTTATACAGTGCAAAAATGGTAAAGTGTCATATACCCTTTCTAGTTCTTTATAGTTACAAATTTAATACATTTATTTAATTATAAATATTAATATTTAATATTTTTAATATATTATTTATTATTAATAACAAGGCTTCAAAGAATATAATTCAATCAATATTCTAAAACAATCATCGTTTTCCATCTCAAATATTATTTTATCAGCGGACTCAATTCTCCGATTTAGTCAGACACGACAGATTAGAAAGTCTACAGCAAGTTATTTATGTGAAATATATACATGGATTAATATTAGATTAAATTATTTTTGAGATTATGTTTCAAAACGTAAAATATTATTTAATAATCAGTAATTACTAGGTTCAATCAATTTTGTAAAAATATGTTGTAATAAAAGAAAGTGTTTGATATGTACCGTTTGATATGATATACATAACATTATTATTAAAAATAGGCAAATATTATTTTAGGGGGCTTGAAAAAATATTTAAAGGGGTTAATCCCCCCTCCCGATCTCCTGCACCTACATACTTTACCTAAGTATGTAAATTTTAGTTTTTTTTAGTTTTTTCTAATAGAAAATGATTTTTGGATGATCGAGAAGTTATAGAATATAGGTTATAGTTAAATTTCCCACAGTTCACAATATTGTAAGATAATGTTATAAACGATCAGATACGGGTTATACTTTTTATGTATCGTACATTCGTATAGCATTGTAAAAATAGATACGATAATACGAAATAATAATCGGTTTCGATTGAAATTAATTTTTTTTTTTAACTCAATGTAAATTCGTATAAAATGCTGACTATAGTGGTGTTTTTTATACGTTTTGCTGGTGTTTCAGCTACAGCCACAGAAGCCGACGATGTGCAAAATGTGTGGTGGTGGCATATTTACGATGTTTAAAAATGCATTAATGGTGAGTGGATATCGTTTTTGTTATTATATTAATTCATTATATCTATACACTATATAAGTACCATAATAATTATATTTGTCGTCGTCTGAAGAAAAATTGTCCAAAATATTTCCGTGAAATATTTTTTTCGCCACACGATATTTGATAAATCTTTTCTAGTATAATAAAAATATTAATAACGATAAAATAACGTACAATTTCGATTTTTCGAATTTTCCTCGGTTTACAGAATTCGAATTCTACAGTCTTTCTGCTTCAATAAATATTTCATTAATTCCATCGTCCATAATTGTTTCAAAAAATTGTATTTAACTACGTAAATGTGCAACACCCATGTCAATCATTATTTTTGAAACTTGCAATATTATGTTTACTCGATTAATTGCACTAAGAATTTAATATATTATTAATATTTATTATATTAATTTATTATATGCTTCTTGATTTCATAAATCAAACACTTAAATTACATCAAATAATTGTAAACTAATGTTCTGACTGCTTTCTGTTTTGAAGACCGCCTTATAGTACTGTAACAGTGTGATGAAGTTTATCTATTAAAATATTCCATATTTGGGTGGAACTAGAATAAAACAAAATTAAATAATTTTTGTATGATTTCAAAAAATGTTTCCGTGAATGAATAAAATTGGTAATTTGGAACCCCCAATCAAGATTTCCGAGACAAATGCCCCGGTTCGCTCCCCGTTTACATCCAGCCCTGAATGTGGGTATAACGTCGCCTGAACACAAATTTTAATTTAACAAAAAGAGAAGGATATTAAAATACTAGCTACGCTAATTTTTTAGAATTAACTAAAGTACCTCTATTACTTTTTTCCCAAGCATGCTGCAAACACTGATGCTTTAATGTATATTATACAGCCTGATTTTAGTATTTACAAGAAACCTACACAAACTGATGCTACATGGTTTTAATCACTCTTATTTTCAAAAAATATGATTTTTTAATTAAATATCCCATTAAATAAACATAATTATTAACATGAGCTCATTACTATCCATTATATAGTCCATAGAAATAACATAAATTTAAATACTATTAAAAAATTCGTAAACGTATTAAAGCAAAAATAAAATATAACTCACTAATTAATGTTGTTAACTATTGAACTATTATAGTATGAAACATCAAAATAATATGCCTAAGAAATTCGCTAAAATTGTGAACAATAATACAAATAATGTAAAAATTGCTTTTAAGGCCAATAATAATTTAAGCAAATATACAAACAATAGAACTAAAAACTTCACAAAAAATCCTCCTTCTTCTTGATTTAAAAACTGCATTAGAAGCTGCTAATGTTCAAAATAATATTCAGGATATTACAGAAAATTGTGATGTAAAGTTTCAACAATTATTTTTATCTGTAATAACTGTCATTTGATATTATTGTTAGTTTACCACGTCAATCTNTTTGAAGATATTAAAGATAAACTCAAACAATTTGTAGAAACATATCAAGATATAATTGATGAATGTAACGATTCCAATTTAAATGATTATGTACTAAAATATTAAAAGGAGAATTAGATTTGTGGTACATTAAATATTCAAATTTAACATTTTCCGAACTTAAGAACAAAAATACTATTGAAGTATACTTCTAAACTAGTCCAGATAATTATCCAGTGATATCTAAACTTCTTCAAATATTCATAACACTTCCAGTGTCTACTGCTACGGGAAAACGATCGTTTCCAACACTCCGTCGTTTGAAAACATATTTGAGAAATTCTTCGGGGCAAATACGTTTAAATGGTTCAGTCTTACTAAAATATATTTATTGCGATATCAACGTGGTTATCAATGGTGTTATAGATTAACTTACTAAAACATGAAAGCAAAAAATGAATATACATTTATAATTTTTAAAAATATAAATATTTCAACTTTTATATAATTAGCGCTGTAAAATAGTAATAAAACATTTAATGTATGATTATAATACACTCAAAATGCCAAAAAATTTTATTTGTTATATTTTTTTTAACCCCCCCTCCAAAAAAAAAAAAAAAAAAATTCTGGATACACCACTGTTAATTTTTATAATTTTTTCGCTATATCCCTATTCCTTCATTCATTTTTTCATATTCAGTCGCGTTATACTTTTAGACTTTGTGAATATTTGAAATCCGTCATGCAATACACATTTCATAATACTCCAGGCGACGCATTTGTTTGTTTATTTATTTATTTATATATTTATTTACGAGTATTAATCATTTAATAATTGTTCTTTTACTTTATTATTTTATTATCTTTTACAATATTTTATCTGGCAGCACTAATCATAACACATTTTGATAATTTATGAATACAACGCCCCTTTCCTAAATGCCCGCTCATAGTAAATATTTTCTACTGAAAACTTTGAGAACCATTTTTTTTTATTCCCAGTTATTCCGGAGTTTTACGTTCCTACGGTTTATATTCTGATAGATTTCAGTCCGGGATATTACCATTTCGAAATTTTACATTCTGGACTTTTATGATCCGGCATTTTACATTCAGGAGTTGTATAGCCTTTCAATACTACGACAGCGAAATAATATAATTACTGTATAAGCTCATTAAATGGGATGGTTTTCAAGTAAAGGGGCACTAGTCAAAGAAGACAACTTTACAGGAGTAGCAAAAAACTTAGTAAAATTAAATACCTCAAATCTTGTTTAGTTATGTTTTATTATATTTTTTTAAATTTTTAAAAATATTGAAGAATAATTAAAACTACTTTTTACTTTTTGTTTGATGAATTATTATTATCTGCATCACAAAATAATTCGCTCAAATCTCGAGCGTATAATATAGTGGTAGAACTAATATTATATCATCGCATTAGGTATCTGGTACATACATTTGAACGTAAAAATTACTGATTAGGTTGCTCAGAATTCAGAATTATTACAATTTAAACATTTTTGCTTTGGACAGTGTTTATCGTAAATTTTAATTCATTGGACCGAGAAATACCGAAATGAAGAATGATCTCTCATACAAATATCAATATTATTCTCGTTATAAACATTTTCACATCAATCTTTTCATAATGATAATGAGTAGTCGTGAACTTTCAAAGCCAAAAAGCAAAATGATGAATGAGAGAAATATAAACACCGTACCCGAAAATCGCATTTCGTTACGTCATCGTTTGCCATAATACAAGTATAAAACACAATATCATTTGGCGTTTCCCGACTATTTATCGTCATAGCAGTAACATACTCAGTAGCAGTTAAATGATTTTGTTATGAGGGGGATAAGGCTCATTTGTTATTATTATTATTAACATTATATAAATATTTTTTTAAATATATACATAACCCCCCGCTATCGTTTCACCACCTTTGAGCCTAATAAATTATACGACTTCTCTTGATGATGTTGATTTGATAATAATATAAATGATTAATTTATAATTATTTTTTTTATATTTTTTTCCGGACCATCAAACGGTCAGGCGAAACTCGACGAGTTCATCAAGTCATCGTCGTCCGCGTCGGATTCTTCATCGGCTCCCGTCAAACAAACGCAGCCGTCTCTGTGGATGGATCCGATAATGCCACCATCACCTTCGTCTTCTTGGCTATGGTGATGTCGAGCTACAGATTCAGACGGATTGTAGGTCGAAAATATTCACTCACCGCCCGGTAACCAACAAATCACCAAACGCGGAATACGTGAGAAAAAACTCGAATATTCAATCTATGAATATACACCATCTTTCGTCATTGTAGTAAACGAAAAATTAAACTGCAACCCCCCTCCCCCCTCCTGGAGTTTATACCATCAATTAATTTAATTAATTTAAATTTCATAGTATTTTTTTTATGGGCACGTATCATTTAAATAAAAAATTATATGCATATAAGCAATAAGTGTATAAACAACACGTAATACGATTATTACATATATTATGTGAACTTAGATTTATTATCCATTCGTTTTAATATTTATTTAATATTTATACATTAGGATTTTATATAATATATTAAAATATTAAATATAAGTATGCTAAACACATGTTTTATTCTTATCTATTTGTCTTGGAGGTTTTTTTAAATATCTTTAATGATGGTTCATAAGAGTATCTAAGTAGATATAAGATGTAAGAGATAAGATTTTCGAACAAAATGATATAGATATTTTATATACACCTAAACAAGACATAAGGATTGTGTGTTGAACTTTTAAATTTATTTGAGTGTAAATTTTTAATTTTTTTTTTTTCTGTGAGTAACTTTTCTACTAGAAATGTTATTCCAATCTAATGACCTTGCGACCTTTTTTGTTAAATTTTGGACCTATAGTTAATATATTGAGGAGTTAATTTTTGATTTTCCAAGTACTTTTTTCTTAATAAATAGGAAAAACTAGGAAAACCGTTGGAAAGTTTACAGCGTTAAGTAATGGTTTCGTTATTTTCGATTTTGTATGTTAGTTTTAACTCAGTTAAAAATGATTGAAGAGTCTTGTAATTTTTACAGAGTACTTACATTTGAACCTTCCTATTTGAGGAACGACGTAAGTCACAAAATGTTGAAAAATAAGTTAGCGCGTGGAATATATATCCTATGGATAGACGCACCACCTGTAAACATGTTGGATAAAAATATTTTATTCTAAGATAGTGGCACTGCTCTAAAAAAATCAATTTAATAGAGAAATGATACAAGTCCTGAATTTACGATGTTTCTCATCTATGTGATTTTTTTTATATTTAATTTTTTTCTGCAATATTGTCATCGCGGCCATTCGTTATTCTCATGCGATTGTGATTTCGCGGTCGTTAAACCTGTAATCAAACGTTATGGTCGGGTCTACTCTATCAATGATTACATGCGTTTTATCATTGCAATGAAAATCAACTATCATTTTCATTTGTGTTTAGTAAGGGCATCAGACATTCTCAATTTTAAGAGGTAGTAGAGTGTGTACTATTAAAATAATATGCTGTTCATTTAGTCCACGAGAAGAAATGATAAAAAAATTACTAATGAAACTTTAAAATTTCAACTTATCGCGAATTTATTATTATCAGAACTGCCTTGTATTATAAAATCTTAACTCTTCATTGATAGAATACTCAAGGATATGTTTAATTGTAAGGAGAACAATAATACACCTCTTCCATTACGATTCCCAATATATACCCCAAATTCTTCTGGTGTACTGATCAATAATGAAGAAATTTCAACTATATATTCCACCTTGTTTTATGAAGTTCCACCAGTGAATTTACTAGTGAAAAACTACCGATGTGGTTCTGGACAAATATAAAATACCCGAAGACGATTAACAACTCAAATAATATTAGTTAAATGATCATTAATATTGTATTTCACTAATTTACTTTATAAAGCTTTTTTGCCGTATTTTCTCTGTTTTGATAGAAAGGTAAAATTATTATAGATAAAAAATCTGAATAGGTTGTCAACATGGATTTGTGAATAATTTATAATATTGTGGCGAAGAAAGTAGATAGATATACACCTAATAACCTATATAGTAGTTTAGCTACACTATTGCCTATCCCTGGAATTTTCTTTGCCCCCCTGTTAAATGTGGGTATAAAAAGTTATTACTATAACTTTAGTAATGCTATCCCCAAAAAAATTGTCTAGATTCAACACTGAAAAAAATATAACTATTAGTTATTCATTTTCATAATTTATGAAGATAAAAAAAAAATTACTATACTTGAAAATCAGTGCAAAATTGCTGATACAAAAAGTTTCAAAAAAAAAGTGTTCTATGGAATCTTCTATGTTGTATATGTAATTATGAATTAATTCATTTTACGTTTCTAATTTAATATCTCATTTAACAATCGTTTAAAGTAAAATCGTTTCCTATTATATGATTTTGAGAATTTTATACTTTTTCATATAAAAAAATATATCGCAGAACAAAATAAACATTAAGTTTATAATGGAAAATTCACTTTCAGAAAAGGTGCTATACTTGATACTTTGGAGCATAATAGTTGCAACTAGACCACCAACTCTGAGGGTGCTAAAACTATGAACACATCAAAGACCCATGGGAGCCATACCGCCACAATCCCTTTTACACGCGTCTTACAATGGTTAATTATACATTTCATTTATAATATTGTATATACAAATTTATCATGTTTATTTAAACATTATTTTTCATAATCTCGTGCATTGTCTGTAGAAAACCTATATTTTGTTCTGCTTATTAACTATGAAATACACGGATCAAATATTTTATCGTTATTATGAAAAACCTGATTGAATTTTTGGGGAGTGCCAAATCTAAACTTAGGGTGGTAAAGACCCCCTATGTAGTAAGGAGTAAGGATTCCTGGTTGAATTTTTGTACACAGTATCACTATAACACCAATACATTCCTCGCTCCGCGCAGTCTAAAATATGAAAAATACTTTTTTTTTTGAAATTCCGCAGTAACAATTTCATTATTTAAAAATGTTAAGATTATATTTTTCTACTAGGAATTTTTTTCCGAATTTCAAAAAAAACATTTTTTCGGGAAGAAAATTTTGTTTAGTTTGTGAGTAAGAAAGTCGATTAATTTTCCGTATAATTTTCTTACTAATTCCGAAAAACCGCGGGAAAATGTAAGGAATACGGCAAAATATACGAGTACGGCATTTGAATTATTTGTTATCCAGTTAAAAATTGTTGTAGAAACCTGTAATATTCACAAAATACTTATATTGGCTTTTTAAAAATTTGATAAAACATTCTAGCTACTTTTAGGCTATTTTTAATTATTTTTAATATATAAAGTACATTTGATATTTTTGTGTTTTTTTATGCATTTTTATTTGGTAGGAATTAATTATTAAAATTATATGTCTCAAAAGAAATGTATTAAAATTAAACATAAGGTACATTATAAGTTGTATTTAGTGGTCTAAAAACAAAATATTAGTTGAATGCATTAATTTTTTTTTTCAGAAGGATTTTAAAATAAAATTTTTACGAAAATGGTAAAAATTACGTTATTTTAAAATATATCCTATCAAACTTTGCTCTGAATCGTTTTTCGTTAGCAATAGTTTATTGTTGCGTACAGATAAAATTGTATAATTGTAATATCCACTTAAAAACTTTCATTGCTTTGCTCCTTTTAAAATGTAAACACATTTACAATGACAGATAACATTTAGTTGTCTATTTAAAAGTCCTTAGAAAGTTTAAACCATATTTTATGGTTATAATTGTTATGGTTACTATAAGTTACACTACTTGATGGCGTTAGTGTCATTTAAAATTTAGATTCCGAAAATATACGGTCAGTAACAATACTGTTTGTGTGTTTATTATTTTCTGGATTTCTTCAGTTGGTAGTCCCCATAAAGTGGACATTTATATTTTTTCCGGGAGAATACAGTCCGTGATAGTACAGTTAATTACTTTCTGGATTTCTATAGTCCAAGAAAATATAATTCACCTATATACGATTCCGAAATTCTACGGTTTGTGAGATTACTTTCCAGGATTATATATGCGTCCATTACACTCATCAACGTTACCAAGTATGTTCTCGGAAGAAAAACCAAACCTTACAAAGGCCTTAAAAACTGGAAAGGTGCAGGCTTGACGATACCTTGATAGAACAGATTATACATTTTGGACAGAGTGTCAAGTGAAAAAGTAAACACTCACCAGATCCCCAAAATATAAAGGAAAGCAAAGATTATTGCACTCCTAACACCTGAAAGGTCCCTGACGACCACAAAAGTTACTACACCGTCTTTCTTTTATGCTATTTGTATAAACTATTTGAAAGATTAATTCTAAATAGATTAAACTCTATTGTTGACAATAAACTCAATAAATAACAAATAGGCTTCAGGCCTGGAAAATCATGCACATACCAAATTCTCAACTTAACCTAATTTATGGAAACTGATTACGAAAAGAAAAAGATCACCGGCGTAACTTTCATAGACCTCACAACAGCCTACGATTCCGTAAGCTAAAATTTACTTCTGGAAATACTGTACAAATTCACTGATGACTAAAAACTATTTGAAACAACTACTTGAAATAAATTTTGTTCTATTCAATATTTTTGATAATTTTTTTTTATAAAAAATATGCCTCCGTGCTACAATGTATATTTGATTATTTTTTTTTAGGGGAGTGGCTAAAAATAAAAAATTTTAAATTTTACAATCATTTTTTAAAATAATCAAAATATTTATTTTGGAAAAAAATTTTTAGAAAATTTTTGGTGGGTGAAACTTTTATTAAAGTATGGTCTTTTATTTACTATGATTTTTTTTTTAATTTGAATAACTTTCTTTTCAATCATAATAATATTGTTTATCAACATGAATTTTCATTATTGATTGATTGACACTACCTAATATCGATAATATTGGTACCATACATTAAATGTATATTATATTTTAATATCGTAACTATTTTCCCGTTTATTCATAGTTTTTTTCATTTGTTGGAAAACTCTTGAGAAAATAAAAAAATCCCTAAAATACCTCCCAAGTCAGTTGTATTTTTAGAAAAAGTGGTATCATTGTAAATTGAAGCCAAATTAATAATCAACTCAATTGCGCTCAAAATCGTTCTTTGTTAGCAATGGTTTATTGATGCTTTCAGGTATACATTAAATTACTTTAAGTTATAACAATGGATTCACCCGACCAATGGGGTCTACTAGGACAGCCTCTTTTAGATTTTGTATTTAAATATTTTGTTTTGTTTTTTTGTCTACGTAACGTATAATTTCATTGTGTGTACTTAAAAATTAACGAATTAAACAGAACTTTTAAATGAGTTTCAATCAATACGATATTCTTTTTTAATGAAAAGGAAATTAGAAATAAGAAACAGGAAGATTTTTAAGTCACAATGATATTCGTAGCAGATAGTGAAAATGTATGTAGGCCAGTTGATACAAATATAAAAAAAAATAATATTTGTATAAGTATATGCAGAATGTCCTCCAATCCTATTATTATGTAATCCTACATTATAGAACATTCTGCGTATTAAAGCAAAAATAAAATATAACTCACTAATTAATGTTGTTAACTATTGAACTATTATAGTATGAAACATCAAAATAATATGCCTAAGAAATTCGCTAAAATTGTGAACAATAATACAAATAATGTAAAAATTGCTTTTAAGGCCAATAATAATTTAAGCAAATATACAAACAATAGAACTAAAAACTTCACGAAAAATCCTCCTTCTTCTTGATTTAAAAACTGCATTAGAAGCTGCTAATGTTCAAAATAATATTCAGGATATTACAGAAAATTGTGATGTAAAGTTTCAACAATTATTTTTATCTGTAATAACTGTCATTTGATATTATTGTTAGTTTACCACGTCAATCTAAATCAAATGATCCAGAATATTTTTTAAGTATTTATACTTTTTATAGATAATTGTTTAGACAAATTGAACGAAATATTTCGCAAAGGGTTGTTTTAAATAATTTTGATTGTATTTTACCTAAGATAGAAATGAAAATATTTGAAGATATTAAAGATAAACTCAAACAATTTGTAGAAACATATCAAGATATAATTGATGAATGTAACGATTCCAATTTAAATGATTATGTACTAAAATATTAAAAGGAGAATTAGATTTGTGGTACATTAAATATTCAAATTTAACATTTTCCGAACTTAAGAACAAAAATACTATTGAAGTATACTTCTAAACTAGTCCAGATAATTATCCAGTGATATCTAAACTTCTTCAAATATTCATAACACTTCCAGTGTCTACTGCTACGGGAAAACGATCGTTTCCAACACTCCGTCGTTTGAAAACATATTTGAGAAATTCTTCGGGGCAAATACGTTTAAATGGTTCAGTCTTACTAAAATATATTTACATATATTAGCCACTACATTATAATATATTATACACAATTAGTTTTATCTAATAACTAAATTTCGACGCCTACAAAAGCTTGCCGGATTATGCAGTTGTCTATTTTGCTACCGCATTCAGCCAGATCTTGGAGTACGTGGGTTTAATACGCTAATACACACACAAATTGGCAAGTGTGTGTAAAAGCTGTGTATAGTTCAAGTACATATAACGTGATTAATCTTGTACGTCATAATGAAATATTAATATTAAGAATAATATCACTTTGTGTCATTACTAATGCATCCTTCTATGTATTAATCCATACACAATACTCAGATCTTGAACTGTCGCCAAAGTGGCTATATCCTCTTACAGGATTTTTCATACCAGAATCCACTTATCCTTGCACTTAACTCAGTAAAAATTCCTAGGAAAACTTAAAACTTAAGAGGCACTGGTGTTGTAATTTGGCTTAACTGAACTGATGTACATAAATAAGAAAAAAAAATATAGTAAATAACCTAACAATTCATCACATCTAAGTGTTACTGCTCGCTACTATCCTCAGCTTTCCTCGGTCTTTTCAATTCATTTATTTGGGACTATGCAAAAATTACAAGAAACATATTTAACTTGAGTCTACATATTGCAATCGGACATTGTATCAGGGTCCAGGGAACGTTTTACAATATCACAAGAAATGGCCTTACAATGTAAATATTAATTTAATAATATAAACAAATAAGTTCAACAGCATAAAAGTATTATTGAAGTGGCCCACCTAAGTTTTAACAGCTTATAGATTTTATATTTGACAAATACTCAGATATTTTTAAGACCTTAATAAATTCAAACCAATTTTGCCTCAAATGTAATTACAATAGCATTACCAAAAGTAGTATGCTCTAGATTTGATAAAAAAAAAAAAACTGGGATACATTATTTAACATATGACTCATTTTTCTTTTTCAAAACTTATTAATTAAAATTAGATTGTTTTCATTATCAAACAACAAAAATAATAATATAGATCAAAACATTGATGGACATAATAATAATACAGATAAACAACATAGTCAAAGAGAAGGTAATACTAGTAATACTAATGGAACTTGATAGTAACAAAAAATGTGCTATATTAGATATAGACTCAAATACCTCAAGTATAGATTGCTCTTTCATCAATGATAATCAATATTAGATCTAAAGAACAAATTAAAATAAGATAATAATTGAAATAAACAATTTAGAATATTTAATATAAGCATAATTAAAGTATTTAATTGTAAATTACTACTAAGATATGATTTTAACAATAAGTATAGGTATAATGATTCAATTTTTTCATTATCAAATAATAATCTAGATAAAAACATTGAAGAAATTATTTTAATAATAAATAATAAGGTCAAGAAAATGTAGTAAATATTGATAGTCATAATAATAATACAAATAAACAACATAGTCAAAGAGTAGGTACTAACAATATCAGTGGAACTTGATGGTAACAAAAAATGTGCAGTAATAGATATAGGCTGAAATACCTCAAGTATAAATTACAATAAGATAATAATTGAAATAAACAATTTAGAATATTCAATTTAAGCATAATTAAAGTATTTAATTGTAAATTATTATTCAGATATGATTTTAACATATAGTATAGGTATAATGATTATTCATTTTAAAATCAAATATAAACCAGTTCAAATTAATATTATACAAATGGATGAATTATGGTATAACTACAGTAAAAATTATTTACAAACTAACATAAAAAAAGCTTCACAAACATAAATAAAAACGAAAAATTTACAGGAAAAAGTATGTCTAATGAAAATAGAAATCAAAATACAAATTCAATATTAAAAATATTCACATTGACACAAAATAACAAAATATAAATTATGTAATAGAACCTACAGACTGCTTATGCAAAAATACTTAGTCAAAAATCCTTAATAATAATGAAGGATTTACAATTTATTATTTGTTTTAAACTATATGGTAATATACCAAAAGGTTCCTGCTAAAGGACAGCTAAAATAATTAAAATAAATATACACCCATTCATAAACTTATCTAACAAATAAATAAATACAACTACTTAAAGAATACAACTAACATTTGTAAAAATGTATATCAATGAAGAAAATACTGTTCCTATTCATCATTTAAATAAACCATACATTGGTCAATGACAGTTTGAGCTAAGCTGTGGACTACCCCGGGTCCATTATTCTTACTAATGGGATCATCTTCTTCCAGTAATTCTCTCATAACTCTCAAACCGTTTTCGACTATCACAATCAAACAGTATGTATCAGCTAAAATCAATAACAATATAATTAAAACTTAGAACTATTTTTGTTTAACCATTAATTTTAGATAGAATAGGTGGAATAAATACATGGTATAAGTTAGACTCATTAATTCACTAGGTTCAGAAACTGAAGGTATTCCACAGGGAAAGAAACCTTTAGATCATCCAAAATTGTGATGGGAAGATAATATTCAAAGAAACTAAGACCTGGAGCCGAGTGAGGAATAACTGAAATGATTAAAAAGGAATAAAGAGGTTTGTCAAAATTATATTATTTGATGGCATACCACAAAAAAAAAGAAGATATTTAAATAATTAAATAATATACTTACGGTAAACTCTAGTGAGGTTTGCTAAAGCCCACACTGCCCAATAGATACACTGAGGTGTATGGCTCGCTTGAGCGAGCTCTAATATTGACTTAATATTACGATAATTAATATTTAATTCATCTAGGTTCCATTTTTGTATACATTTTGTCACATGGTCTAATACTTCACATCTTTCAGGCTTTTTTATAATCCATGCTTCATGACCATCTGAAGCTAAATATGCAATAATTCCAGCAGCATGAAAACTAACCTATACAGAAAAACAGTAAACCAATGAAAATATTTTAATAATTATTGTTGCAACAATTACCTCTTGAGTTGAAAACAAAAGATCATAAAACAATTTAATTATATGATCTTCCATTAGCATTGGTCTAAGTTCTTTTACTTCAACAACATTGCCTAATGAACCCATCATAAATCGCATCATATGACTTTTACCTGGAAAAATCTAAAAAGCAAACAGAATTTTAAATTTTATAAATACATCATACAATTATTATTATTTCTACCGTCAAGCATTCTATGAAATATTTTGCTCCATGTCCATCAAGGAACTTTTTACAATTTTTTGGACATCCCTTTGTTAAATTCAGAATTGCCAACCAAGCAACCTCAAGAACATTATCAAACACTCTACGACGATATCGATCATGAATTATTCCCATCAGTTTCTATACAAAAATATAAATTTGAATTCTTAGTCTAGGATTATAATTAAACAAATATCAAACTGATTTACAATAAAAGACAGAAGTTAATTAAAATTGGCATTGAAAGATAATTAAATAATAAAGATAAAAAGATTAAGCAATATGATAGGAAAGAAGAAATCTATAAACAACAAATTTTACAATTTTTTCCTATGATTATATGTCTGTAACATAATTTTAGATTTATTTTCAAACCTAGACAATAGAATAAGATTTAAAAACAAAAATAGGTTTAAATAAATATATAATATTAAAGTATATTTTGTTAGAATAAATATTTATTTATTTTTAATCAACTAAAAATGGATTAATTAGATATTACATTTTGTTTTATAGTATGTCAATTACTTATACTTTTAAACAAAAATTACCACTTATAATAACTTATTACTAATTAATATCCTTAATTTCTTTACCTCGGTAATACCAGCATCTCCGATTTCATTTCTTTGTTTATCATTTACTTGTTCTACAATTATATTAAGTAAATGAATAGTAATTTGTTGAACAAATCCTTCATTAACACTAAAAGTCAAAATATGAAGCAATAACCGAATCAACCGATTAAATTCTAATATCTGAAAATAAGAATTCTATAAAATATATTACAGTAATCAATCCTTGACAAGATACTTATTATCTCAAAAAGTATTAACTATTTTATGAAATTTATTTGATTTTTTTTTTGACAATTTAAGTAACAAGTAGCTTTAAATTGTTACTTTTTTTCATCATTGTTACTTTTTTTAGGGATGGAAACACTAATTACTTTTGATTTCAAACATAAACTATTCAAAATTTCATAAAAAGATGAAGTTTTAGTTATTACAGATTTAAAATTTCAATGACAGAATGTATTGAAATCAAAACTTCATTTATTTATATAATTTTTAATAAATGTTACAATTTGAAAATTTGAAATAGATAGTGGTTTCACTGAATTGAAATTCCTGAAAACTCTTTGAAATGATAAAATTTTAGTATTTATTTTAGTATATTGTTGAAGGAAGTTTTTCAGTCTTTGGACATTTCTGCATCCCTTCCCCTAAATGATGCTAAAGTTATCCAATTGGAGAGTTTTGGTAATGATTTTTTTTTTTTTTTTTTGAAATTGTTTATTATAATATATAATGTAATATTAAAGGATTTGGTTATTTATTTTTCACACAAATTATTTCTATAATAAAATTAGATGAAGAAAAATTTTAGTTCAGTGATGTTATTGAGTGGATCATAACCAATTTTTTTTCAACCCATAAATACAATATTAATTAATCATAATACTAAAAATTTTATAATTATTTATACATTATTTAAACCAATGCCCAAGGGAAGAAAATATTTATTTTTGTACTATATAGTTTTACCTCACATACTTTAAAATTTTTTAATAAATTTGATCTGTATGTTTAATTTATTGTTCAGCTATAAAAATGTGCCCAACAAATAAAACTATCTGACCAATCAGTATTAAGAACAATTTATATGGTAATCAAAAAAATAAAAATAATGTAGACATGAGCATCATGTGTAACAAAATGATTTACATTTGAAAATGTGACAATATATGAGTGTTATTTAAATCCTAAATTATAATTATAAAATCAAGGATCAAAATATTTCATGTTACTTGCAAGTTAAAAACAACAGTATGTATTAAATATGAGCAATGCCATTTTTTTCAAATAATTGATTAAAAATAGAAATTAAAAAAAACATATTATACCAATATTTATATTAGTGATCCCACATGGCCTTAACTATAACAAATTAAATGCTCCTTTAATACATATATTTGGTTTCCAAAAGAAACTGTTTTGTCCAAAATAACTGTTTCTTTTTGATTCATTGTCACTCGAAAATAAAAAAATAAAATGTCTAACTATATGACAAAAAATAAACAATCAACTACTTTTTAAGATTTTAATTGGGAGGAAGGGTATAAACATAAACCTTCTTCAAAAATTGCAAATCATAACAATAAAAACAATCAATATCCCTTTAAGAGGTTTTTGAAATTATCATTGCCATTTAGACAAAAATTTCTTTTTATAACAATAATATTTGTTGATAAATACCATAACCGGAGATATACGCAATTGATACAAAGTCAAACATCCATTACGGATCACTGTTTCTTCATAGTTATTAAATTCCATCCCAGTTATTAATGTATTAATGATATTTCCTTTAACTGTTATATTGTTTAGTAACGATGGATCCTCTTTTATAATAGAGTACAGAATGGCACTAAAATATTGTTAATTAAACATTTAACAATAAATACATATAGTTAAATGTATTGGTGAATACTGACCTCCCATTAATTTGAATTATTCTATCTCTCACATTTCTAGTAAGAACTTCTAATACTAGATCTAGTGCATGGTCTAGCCGAGTACACTCAACATTTTCCAGCAGGCGAAAAAGATCATTTAAAATGTGATAGAGTAGTTTTGGTTTATTCATACATGAGGCAGCAGCATTGAATAGTTGTATTTCATCAGCATTACCACTAATCTATGAAAAGTAAACAAACACAACTTTATACATTAGTAAATCATTTTTTTTTTAATTAAATAATAAGTACATATATTTAAGAATTATTACAATTTTTGCAGGAATATTATGTCGCCGACAAGCATTATACATGGTATTGTATAAACCTAAAAATTCTAAAGGATTATCCACTCGGTTTTCTAAACCAGGAATATCTGACTTCTTGTCACTGGATGACTGACTGGGAGAATTTTCAGCAGTACCTATATCAGTGAAGATACATGAAAACATTTGAAAATAATTAACAAGTAACCATCAAGAAACTTGCCTCTTCCAGCTAAGTTTGTTCCAGAAATATCTAAATACATGAGATTTGGTAGACTTTTCACAATACGTGCCAACGTTTTGTTTCCATCTTTGTAAAAACCTGCTTCTGGAGACCAGTTTGTTTGAGACATATCTAAAACACTGGACACACACAGTTTTTAAATATTAAATTGACATTATTAAATACATTTGTATGATATAATACTTACACAAGAGATGTCAGTGTACAGATATTGAGTATTGCTTCATAATAGTTTTGCAAACGAGGCACATCGAAAAGTATCAATGTATGTAAGTACTGAAGTTTACTTATGTCTTGAAGACTGCCAACATCCAAACAATATGAGAGATCCAATATTCTAAGCTCTAAATAATTGTCAAACACAGACTTCAGAAATATATTATTCTTAATGAAAGGCGAATCTGGAATTAACGATAATACTAAATGTTTAAGATTAGGATTCGGTCTATGTATTATTTTGGAACCATCAAAAGTTAATGAACAGTTGAACAGCTCATTGAAAGTGGTTGATTGTATATTGAAACGAATAGTTAATGACCGTAGGTTAACACATTGCTTGAATATATTCAAATAGGTTACTTGCGAGAGATTCTGACAGTTGATAATTGAAATATTTTCCAAATTATGGCGTAGCAGGTATGTAAAACCGTCGTCCGTAATATTCGAACTATCTATATGAACCGATGTAAGTTTAGTCGTTGTAATATCTTTAAATAAATGTAGAAAACAATCTGATATTTGTCCACCATTGTTTTGGTAAATCTTAAGAAACGGGTCACATAAGACACTTGGTAATTTATATCCTGGATTCAATTTATATCCTGTTAGTGTATTTTTGCAGATCACGTCCAAATTGCACGCAATATACTTTAGACATAAACAAAAAAGCGACTCTGGAGACCTTTCTTTTTTATGTTTGTATTTAATTTGAAGCATTTTGTTTCCGCTTTGATACATGGTGAGAACAATCACTGACCTGATTTCGATAGATGACTATTATCCTTCAGTTATAATATGTAATAATATGCACGACTCGTCTATCTTTTTGTACAATTAATTTATACCCGGTTTCATTGTTATATCAGAAAGTATCTATTAAAAAACTGTCATTATTTCAGTCATGTTATATTAAAAAGAACTATAGAAAAGTACATTACAAAACACAACAAAATTGTATTTTCTTACACTATAAAATGCGAACATTCACGATCAATAATATCAGCTGATACTGTTGTTATACGTTAAACAGTGTTACTAGTAGTACGAAACGAAATTATTTGCCCGAGAACCCGAGAAAAGACATGACATAATGTCAAAATGTAAAACATCAATGGGGGGGGGGGGTCGTGGACTAAATTTTTATTTTTATTTTGTATAATTTTTGAAATAGTTTTTGTTAAATGTTAAGTGCCGTTTAATATTTAAAAGAAATAGAAACAAATAGTGTAAAAATTATTTTTAAAGTTGTGATAAGTATCAACTACGTTAGAACAAACATTATTCTACTACTGCACCGTATGCACATGATGCAGAAAAATTAAAACGGTGTCGTTAGTTTTACCACCAAAAAATTTCTCAAATTCACACCGGTTTGATTTTCAAAGGGAAATTCAAACCAATTTGTACCAAAGAATTTTTAGTTTGTTACCAATACAATTGGTACACTTTTCCCGAAATCATGGATGAAAAATTTAAAAAGTTTGATTATGCAAGATAATGCCAATCTTAACAATCTTCAAATTTTTGAACTAGAATATTGAAACCTAAATTATCAAATACTTACCCAAACATGAAATAAATTATGTGTTTATATATTTTATAACTCTCTGATTTAACATTCCCGCGATTTTCATTGTCTCAATGTTATGTCCTAATCATTTGATACCAGCTGTTCGGTTTAATCGTTTATCAATAACCACGGACTAAGATATATCTTAGTCTGTGTCAAAGTATATTGATATCAATACACCTTGGTCTGTATCATAGAGTAATATAGAAATGGCGTTACTTATTTAAACTGTATTATCAGAGTGATTCCAAACTAGCACACATTGTCCTTAACAAAAGGTCCATTAATTATGCTATATACCGCTAGATGGCAGTCAAATATGTTTACTCTATGACTGGAATTTTTGCACCATTTACAATATTATGCTTTGTTTATTTGTTTACAATATGGTTAAAAAAATTCCTAACTGTATTATTTTTGGCAGAAGTAAAACTGCTAAATCAAAATCTGAAAACATTAGTTTTCACAAGTAAGTTGTGCTATGAAGCAATATTAGAATTTTATAATACCATAATTTATAATATAAACCACATTTAATATTCCAGATTTACTTCTAAAGAATGAATTCTACAGAAGTGGCATTTTTGATCCTAAGTGGATTGCTCATGGCTATTAAATAAGGGATGAAATTCAGGCAATTTCTAATCTCGTTATCGCCGCCCGGGATCTTTTGTTAGTCGTAAATGATTATTAGTATGAGTGCAATCGATGTATGTGGATCGCCACCTGCCGCACTATCTTAGAAGGTAGGTATTATTGCGTGTTTCATCGTTAATTGTTATCGATGGAGTTAATTATTTTATTGTAGATGGACATCTGACCATTATTATCTAATAGTCCATCAATACTTGCACCTAAAAATGGTAGTTATTCATCAACGCAAAGGCCACATAATTATACTTAAAATCCTGTTAATTTTTCAAATTCAGTTTTTGAAACAAGGTTTCCATTCAATATCTAGCATACTCATTACCAGAAAATGTTTTATAAAAAATTGTATTGTATTAGATATTTAGATCGAGAAGTTGCTGGTCGAGGTTTATAAATTTTTTTCAAAGTTAGATACGGTTAATCAATTCTTCTTTCTTGTTGCCATAATTCACATTCCAGTTGAAGTTAGGTCGATTTTTCGATTAATTGGATTTCATCATTTTGATAACTTTCATAAATTCCAATTTTATAATATATACAAATATATTTTAAAAAATAGTCGATTACTGTGTTCATATTAAATACCTAGATCAAAAACTTAAAACTGTAAAAACAAATAAATTTAGATACTTTTCTTCACGTAACATTAAAATACATATTATTTCTTTAAATTAATAATTTTAAAAGAATTGGACCATGTGATAAAAAGCATTTGATAACTTCATCTGTGTTGATTGGAATGTCTTTCACATGAAATCATCATGAGCGCTTCCAAGCATTCTTCACACATTGTTGATCTAAGACGTGTTTTTATAAACTTTAATTTAGAGAATGCGCGTTCTGGGGAAACACTTGATACTGGAAGAGTAAGTGCAATGCAAAGTGCAGTAAAGCGAGGGAAAAACATTTCTCAACTCTGATCTGTTGCATACATTAAAGAGCATATGTATTGCATCTTGGTTTATATCTTATATATCAGCTTCTTCATTGCTGTCTTCATCGGTGTTTTGGTTATCGTTATCATCAAAATTTAAAACATCTATAAAATTATCTTCATGTTGATGCAGTTTTCCTGGAAGTTTCACTAATGTTGTGCTATTAAATACTCTTGAGATTAGTCTTATTGTTTATTCAATAATATAAAAATTCTATTTTTTTTTTAATATGAATACTATTGTACCATACTGAAGAGCAATAGTCAGCTGTTGAAGTTACAAGGGCCTGTGCTAAGATCCTAAATTCTTCATCAGTGACCACCAGACTATATACCAGTAAATTTCTTTTATAAAATTGTTTTCTAATTTTGAGTTTCTGTCCGATTACACCTAGATGTTTTTTGTATCACTTCAATCCGACTGTTCAAAACTATTCTAATTTCCGAGTTTGAGATTAAATTGTCCAGAAGAAGTCATTAAACGTGTCCAAAATTAATAGGAATTATTTAACACAATAAGTTACAATAGGCTCTATTTTTGAAGAAAATTCGACAAATAATTTTATAATTCACGCTAGTGAATAGCGATAACAAACGACTATTATAATGCCTTAAGTTTTATTCCATGTCGACTTCTAGGTAAGGATATTTTTATATTTTCTGTGTATACCATTGTATCTATTTAAATATTATATTGTAATATATATCCATTTAGGTATTATGTAGATACCTGGCACATAATATATACTCGTATTATATGGAACTCTGCTGTTTTCGATCTTAACCTATAGGTTAACCAAAGGCTGACCAGTTGATAATAAATTATTGTTATGATCGTTTAATTGCGTATAATACAATTAATATTATACGGTGGTCGATTTAAACAGGTTTGTCGTAATGCCGCTGTCGTAATATTATATCTATATAGGGAATATCATTACAATACATTATGAGAATCGAACGATTTTGACACGTACCTACATAATAATAACCGCGTTGGAAAGAAAAACGTCAAAAATATCATAGGTCTTTAGATTACAATATAGTATTATAATATATTGGACCGGAAGTCTGTGTATTTACATAAATATAAAATACAATTAATTCAAGTATAAGTATCACTCGATGAAATCGTTTTTGATTATTTAAGCACACATGTACCTATTACAGCTACCTAATGAATTGTATTAATCATACTATCACTTAGGGTTATGTCAAGAGAGGGATGCATGGCTTACCTATACATATATGATATGCACGTTATAATAATAAAACATTACCCACATTTACTTTTTCACCACGTGTTTATTTAATTTCATTTAACGAGCTTTGTGATGGTAAAATAATACTATAGTCATATAAAATACATGTTATACTGTTTTTTCATAACTATTATGGTTTTTGATAAGCATATCCGTTCAAATACGATCGAAAAAACAAACGGACATACTTAGTATGACGGGTGATCCACTGTTATATGCAAGAAGTTGGGAGGGTTGAGGGGAAATTTGATGTACATCTGTACGAAAAGATTAACCATTGCCAACAAAAATGATTCAGAGTGAAGTTCGATTATATATATATTTTGAATAGCCGTAATTTGAAACGATTTTAAATTACGGTGGTATATTTAAAAAAAAATACATTCCATACATTTTCCTGTTTTCCCACGTTTTTTCCCAGTATTTCACATTTATTATGAAAACCCCTGGGAAAATCAAAATATAGACTCAATAGAGTATCACTCCATTCAAATTTCCTTTCAGAAAAAATCAGAGTAAAATTTCAGGTAGAAAAATTATTCACAGAAAAATAAATAAACATCATTGTAAATGTAAAACCAATACAGTCCTTATTCCGCTCAGAATCGAAAATATACAGACCAACAGAGAATGCATCATGCAAAAATAATATGCTTTACAGTTTTTACAGAATAAGTTACAAATCAATTTATTTTTGCTGATATGGAATTATTATAATATATAGTACGAATATAATATGCATTATATATAATAGTTATATCACCTACAATTATTGCCACTAATAAATACAATTCTTATAATACAGTGGCACCATCATGTTAATATAACCATTTTGTAAAAGATATTATTCTAAAACGACGTCCTAGGATAATGGAGACGGGTGTAGCCACTGTATAGATAGTTTAATGTATACCTGTGAGTGACAATAAACCACTGATAACGAAAAAACGATTCTGAGCGGAGTTCAGTTGATAATGATGCATTGTCAAGAATATATATATATATAATTTTATAGTAAAATAACTAATTGGCTTTATATAAATTCTTTAAAATTATTTATTTAATGTTTAACCGATTTTCCGGGTTTTCCCATGTTTTATCCAGGTTTTTAAAAACTGTATGAGAAAACTCCTGAGAAAATCGAAAAATAACCTCTCTAAAGTATCATTGCTATCATTAAAAGTTGGAGTAAAATTGCTGGTAAAAAAGTTGCGCACAGATAAAAAAAAAAAAAAAAAAATAAACATTTTTGTAAAACTATAAGCTTCTTCGCTCCACTCATAATCTAAGATTATAATGTATCACACATTTGTATCTGATG